AGCAGACCAAAATGCAAATGTATGCCCTTTTCCACCTGCCTGGGCAAACAAGACTTAACCTGGCAGCTCTTACTGTCCTTCAATCTAGAGTCATCCAGAAGAGGCTATTGAAAGCAACAGCCACTGGGGGGCCTTCATAAGCTTTCACAGGGAAAAAAAAGATGAAGCCAACTTTACAGTGCTACTTGCAAGGTTTAGGGAAGCTTCGCTGCTGTTTACAGTAGCATCTTCAAAGCAGGTAGTGTTTTTCCCTGAACTGCGACTGTGGTGCAAGGAGCAGACAGACACATCTAGATTCCAGACAGATAAGGAGATTGAATGCAGCGCCAGCCCTAACAGGTTGGAAAATCAAACAAAGCAAATAATACTGAAAGGAAATTGGAAGTGAAGGTGCAATCCCTCTTAAATCGAATACTTAAGGAGCAAGGGGGGGGGAGGAATAAGAATGTGAAGATGAAGGAGAAGATCATTTAATATTAATTATACTTCTACCCTCCTGCCAACCTAGCAGTTCGAAAGCATGCCAAAGTGCAAGTAGATAAATAGGTACCACTCTGGCTGGAAGGTAAACGGTGTTTCCGTGCGCTGCTCTGGTTCGCCAGAAGCGGCTCAGTCATGCTCGCCTCATGACCCGGAAGCTGTACGCTGGCTCCCTTGGCCAATAAAGCGAGATGAGCGCCACAACCCCAGAGTCGGTCACGACTGGACCTAATGGTCAGGGGTCCCTTTACCTTACACTTCTATCCACATCTTCCTGAAATGATTTCTTTCCCCTTCAATTTATCCTCACAACAACCCTGTAAGGTTGCTTAGGCGGAGAGATCGTGAGTGGCTCATACTCACCCAGGGAGCTCCATGGCTTAGCTGAGATTTGAACCTGGGTTTTCTTAGACCTGGTCCTGCAGGCTAACACTATACTTGACTTTCCTGATGGGCACCTTCTTCCCTGCACAACCTGATCAAAATGCTATTCGCTCCCTCTCACAATCTGTGGCAAAAATGCCCCAGGATACCAAAAAATGTTTGATAGATATATTTGTTTTCCCATCCCTAGCCCCACCTTTTGGGTCACAAGCAGCCCCTCCAGTCTCCTCTAACATCCTAATACAGTGGTACCTCAGGTTACATACGCTTCAGGTTACATACGCTTCAGGTTACAGACTCCACTAATCCAGAAATAGTGCTTCAGGTTAAGAACTTTGCTTCAGGATGAGAACAGAAATCGTGCTCCGGCGGCACAGCAGCAGCAGGAGGCCCCATTAGCTAAAGTGGTGCTTCAGGTTAAGAACAGTTTCAGGTTAAGTACGGACCACTGGAACGAATTAAGTACTTAACCTGAGGTACCACTGTATATAGCAGAAAGACAAGGGAAAGCATCAAGATTCAATAAAACAACAACAGAGCCAAACTGATAACAAATGCAAGCTCAGGATTAATACACCTAGTAGTGACTCTGAATGCTCCTGCAGTCACACACACACACACACACACACACACACATGCCAAGCATCCAAAGTATGGTAATGTAAAGGTTTTCCCCACCCATTTTCTGAACAAAGTGCTGGCCTTCCAGAGAGATGTGCCGTAACTGTACAGGTGTTGTTCTACAGGGATGCTGACAGTGCAATCCTAAAACTTGTCCACTCAGAGTAAGTCCCATTGGGTTCAAAGGGACTTACTCCCAGGTAAGTGGGGCTAGAATTGCAGCCCTAATCTCTAAGACAGGGGTCAGCAAACTTTTTCAGCAGGCGGCCGGTCCACTGTCCCTCAGACCTTGTGGGAGGCCGGACTAGATTTTTTTTGGGGGGGGGGGATGAGCGAATTCCTATGCCCCACAAATAACCCAGAGATGCATTTTAAATAAAAGCACACATTCTACTCATGTAAAAACACCAGGCAGGCCCCACAAATAACTCAGAGATGCATTTTAAATAAAAGGACATATTCTACTCATGTAAAAACACACTGATTCCTGGACCGTCTGCGGGCTGGATTTAGAAAGCGATTGGGCCGGGCCTTAGTTTGTCTACCCATGCTCTAAGGGCAGCAACATACATAGCAAGGCCTCTGACAGCAACACCAGAGTTTAGAATCAGAAGTTGTAAACACAACAATACAGGCATGGTCCAGTCTGTTAAAATCATTTTTACAGTTCTGTCGGTTTTTATGGGAGACACAAGTGCAGCAATGCAAATATGCCAGTGTTAACTGAAAAAGACATTGAATTACCTTGTGCTTTCATTTCATCTAGGCCAGCATGATCCTTATTGGTATTAGGGCGTATGGCTATCCCATGAGCCTCAGCAACATCCAGCCATTCAGCTGCTTTGAGCCACAGCCATGAAATGTAACAGAACCAGAGAGCTGTCTTCTTTCTGAGACAACCGAAGAGGGGGAAGCGTGGGATTTTTGAGTGTCGGTCTTTGGTGGCCAATGACTGTGATCTTTCTTTCCCCCTCATGTTATCATTACATCCAAGGATGACAATTATGGTCATCTACATATCTCAAATGACTGGTTGTCCTCACTCCTGTCTGAATCATCAACTCTTGGGTTTTTTCCTTCTCGCTTTCTTTTATCACTCAGGGATGGTTTGTCACAAAGGGTGGGTGGGCCTTCAGATCAAATGGAAATATGGGTTTCTACAAACACAAAACCCCATTCCTGTTAAGTACTAGGGGACTGCATTTTCAAGAAGACACGTTCTACGTCTGTATTAATGTTCAGTTGTTTTGATTTGAAGGCCTATACAACATTTGCCAACCTTGTGCCCTCCATATATTTTTGGACAGCTCCTGCCAGACACCAACAGAACATGTACACAAGTGTGTAGCCAACTAGGGTTTTACTTAGAGTAGACCCATTGAAATGGAGCTCAGTTACTCATCTCGATTTCAGTAGGTCTACTCTGGTGTGGACTAGCCATGGATACTACCCTAGGAGAGGCACTGAGTCTGTTCAGATTTTAAAAAGCTGTCTATAGAAAGTGGAGCAGAAACCTACACGTTTATCAAGTAGCATCAGTACCACCAAAACTAGCTCTCTTCTTGAGATCCCTGCCCTGAGGTCTCACCTGCCTGCACTCATGCCTCTCTTCTGCTTGCTTGGTCCACCTCAGGAATAGGCAAACTCAGCCCTCCAGATGTTTTGGGACTACAGCGCCCATCATCCCTAACTAACAAGACCAGTGGTCCGGGACGATGGAAGTTGTAGTCCCAAAACATCTGGAGGGCCGAGTTTACCTATGCCTGGTCCCCCTCATCTCTTTAGCTTGTTTCCTAGCAACCCAGGTGGGGGTGGTTATAGGCTTGTCAGGACATGAGCCTGTGAATTCTTTTAAGAGAGCCTCACACCCAATGAAAACAAGCCAAGTGGCCAAGGCAGCAAGCCACGATGAGTGTGCAATAGGTGACACAAAAATCACGATCTGATAATGCCCCCAGATACTTGCTTTTCAGAAATGAAAGAAGGCATTTCAAATCTGCCTTTTCGTTGTTGCTAAATCAATAACCACACCACAACCACTTCCAGATATGCTGTAACAATCGAGAGAAGCTGCACCAGCAGGTCAAGTATACAGTCAGTCTCCTTCTGTGATCAGGCCATGATGCCAAACACCCAATGGGAGAATAATAATAATAATAATAATAATAATAATAATAATAATAATAATAATTTATTTATACCCATCTGCCTGGGTTTCCCCACTCACTAGATCCCAGTATTTAATAATCTACTGTAGTGATAGCTAGCATAGTACCCTCCAGATGTTGTGAACGACAGCTCTGATCACCCCTGACTGTTGGCCATGTTGTTCGGTGCTGATGGGAGTTGCAACACATAAAATCTGGAGAGCATCATGTTGCCTACTCCTGATCTAGCGAGAGAGAGTGAGCCAAGGGAATAGCACGTTTTCATGTGCAAAGCTTATTTAGAAAATGTATTTGTACTTACAAGCCCGTGAACAGTCCCAAGGTGGGTTACAAAAAAAGCACAAAATAAAAATGAATGAGCATAAAGATGGAGGCTAGGCATTTGCAATAAAACCCAAAGGGTTTTATTCACATGAGAAACTAGTTTGAAGCAAGATTCACTGTAAGCTGCCTTGAACTTAGCTCAGATTTTGACTCTGCCATGAACTATTTTTGGAGGGACCCTTTTTGCTTTATTATATGCTTTTATACTTCACTGGTAGACCTTATGAAAAGGTTTGTTTAAATTCATGGTATATTTATTAATGAAATACTTCCATCAACATATTTTTTATTATTTAAATTTGTAATGTAGTGAATTCTGAGCATCATTGGTGCTGAAGACAGGATGGGGTGAACTTGCCTTGTGTGTCTTAACCAAACTCCCTTCTCCCTATTATTCACCTTCCCCATCTACAATGCAGTACAAAATCCTTCCTTGTTAAGGTAAAGTACTTAAAGCAAGCTGAGTACTAAAGTGCTACAAGTGTGACCAGCAACAAGAGGTTGCCATATGGAGTGCTCCGATTCAGGATTTTAGGCAACCACACCCTTTTCCAGGCATATGAAGAATTGGGGCACATCCACGCCAATGGCTTCCCCCAAAGAATCATGGGAACTGTAGTTTGTTAGGGGTACCTCCAGGATTCTATGGCCTGTCCTAAACACATAGTGTCATCGTGCTCTTGAAATTGCTATCAGGCTATAGGACATTGATTTTACTCCTCCTGCTACCACTGCTTCAGGCAACTAGTATTCTAAGCATTGGATCTGCAATACTTTAAAGAAATTCTAGCCCTAACAATCTTGGGAGGGGGTTCCCCACTTCTTAACCTTAGTGGGTGGGGCATTTTTCACCGCCATGATGAATCCAGATGGCTCGTTTCCCCTATAGATAAGACACAGCTCACAAATCCGATTGTCTTCTGGGAGTTTGTCCAGATTCCATAACACACTCAGGTTGGTTGATCGTTCAATGGCATCACCAACAACTGATGTCAACCGCGGTCATTCTTATCCAGAAAAATGCAATGAGGTAACACTGGCTTTTTTTATTTAGAAAAAGACTGGAGCTTTTATTGAATATATGCCATTGGGGAGGGCAATTAAAGATGGAACTCCATCAAGCTGACTAATATACAAGAAACCTTTTTTCAGTAGTACTGTGAAAATAACATTCGGAACTTTAATTCAGCACAACAGCCATTGTATCTTTAGTTTCTCTCTATATATACATCTTGCAATATACTTTCAGATCCCTCCAAAATATAAAAATATTTTGAGTGAACAACTTCTCTGAGGTGAAAGCCATGACAATAAATACTGATGAGGTTATGTGTGATACTTCTGCTTCACTCTAGAGCAAAATATATAACTTTATTAGCCATACATTCCAAGGTAATTTAAGAAGGGATATACACAAGAAGAGACAACCATGCACACCGCCAGAGCTTTGTCCCCTGATGGGACTGCAGCATTTCCCTGTCGCTGAAGAGAGCAGCTGGTTTTTTTACATTGGAAAATGGCTTGCCTCTTCAGCCAAGGGGCTTCCTGCAGCAAAACCAGAGCTCAAGGTGAGCACAAAGGCTTCCGTGAAACGCACTGCCCTTATTTAGAGCATTGCGTGCCAAAAGAACCAGAAACTTTGAAAAGTGCAGCAGTGCCAAACCCTGGTTATACAGACAACCTGAAGAACACGCGAGGGATACATAGAAAACAATTTGGCATCTCGACGGCTAGAATGTGGCATCCTCTTTACACAGCCACTGGGAGAGAAAGTGGGGCTTGGTGCCCACACAATGGAAGCCAATGTCAACCTGCGAGTGTGGTGCCAAGTTGGGAATTCTGGAGTCCTGCTCCTCATATCTCAGAGATGTGCCTACTAAGAAAACGTAAGACATCTCATCATGGAGCCAACACATACAAAACAAGCCCTCTTTGTGCATGTGCAGGAGGGCATCAAAGGTGCTCTGTCTAGTGACTGGCTGCATTCAGACACCATAATTAAACCACGGTTTATTGTGATGGAAATGAGTCTAGGAGGGCCTTGGCTTCACGTGTTTCCTCCCTCCCCTCTCTAGCACAGCCACAAGGAGTTTTTTTACTTCTGTTTTTAATTAACTACCGTTTGTTGTGTCCTCTAAACTTGGGCATATCCATGCCAATAGTTGGACATAATTAATCTTAACCATGGTTTTCTGAAACAATCCAACGTCAAGCCATGGTTTATGAAGCTGTCTTGTTTCAACAAGCCGTAGTCATGATGAGCCACAGTTTAGGGTTCAGACACAAGCTAAACTATGGTTAATCTAAAACCTCCATTCTCTGTGTGGTTGTGCGGGGAGGAGAGGAGGAGAAACGTGTGAGCCCAAGACATACCTAGGCTCATTCCCACCACGATGATTTATCATGTTGTCCAAACGAAGCCACGGAAAAGCAATGCATTCATGTGCTAGCTGCTGCTACTGAGGAGCAGGCATTGACAAGGAGGCCACCGATGCAAAGCTATCATTCCACTGCCTTCCAGAAGCACTTGACTGAGCTGCTGCTGCTGCTGCATGCGCCTTGAACTTCTGCAGAAGATCTTGGGCTTCTTGCTTGTCTTGCAATGGGCTTTCTCCATACTCGGCCCTGAGCCACTCTCTGACCTGGAGGGACGAAACAAAGAAAAACATTGAAACACAGCATAACATAAAAAGGGTTTGAGCGGCTTTAAATGTTTTAAGGTAAAGGGTAAAGGGACCCCTGACCATTAGGTCCAGTTGTGGCTGACTCTGGGGTTGTGGCGCTCATCTCGCTTTATTGGCCGAGGGAGCCGGTGTACAGCTTCCGGGTCATGGGGCCAGCATGACTTAGCCACTTCTGGCGAACCAGAGCAGCGCACAGAAACATCGTTTACCTTCCCGCCGGAGTGGTAGCTATTTATCTACTTGCACTTTGTGCTTTCAAACTGCTAGGTTGGCAGAAGCTGGGACTGAGCAACGGGAGCTCACTCCGCCGCAGGGGTTCGAACCGCCGACCTTCTGATCGGCAAGTCCTAGGCTCTGTGGTTTAACCCACAGGGCCACCCGCGTCCCTTAAATGTTTTAGGTAGTTTTAAAATTGATTTGGAAATGATTACAGGTCTCAGGGAAGGATGCATGCAGTGCTGGATTTATGTATAAGCTAAACAAGCTATAGCTTAGGGCCCCACTCTCTTGGGGGCCCCCAAAAAAATTAAAGGGAAAAAAACCTGGATGTACATTTCCAAAATATAAGATAAAAAAACAAATAAAATAAAACCTACATACAGCAACAATGTTTTGTGTTGTGTAGGCTCCTATGATGTAAGTAATGGCTCCCGCCTACTAGCCTGCTCCCTAAAATATCACTGGTTTCCTCATTTCTATGTATAGGGTGCCCACATTCTGCATGAGCAAATGGCTTTAGATACCTATTAAAGGTAAAGGGACCCCTGACCATTAGGTCCAGTCGTGGACGACTCTGGTTGTGGCGCTCATCTCGCTTTATTGGCTGAGGGAGCCGGCGTACAGCTTCTGGGTCATGTGGCCAGCATGACTAAGCCGCTTCTGGTGAAACCAGAGCAGTGCACGGAAACGCCGTTTACCTTCCCGCCAGAGCGGTATCTATTTATCTACTTGCACTTTGTGCTTTCGAACTGCTAGGTTGGCAGGAGCAGGGACCGAGCAACGGGACCTCACCCCATCACAGGGATTTGAACCGCCGACCTTCTAATCGGCAAGCCCTAGGCTCAGTGGTTTAACTCACAGCTCCACCCGCGTCCCTATTAGGTCCATAAATTACCTATTATAAAAATACCTATTAGGTCCATAAATTACCATATAGCATATATTCAACACAAAAAACAGCGGCAATTTGTTGTTGACACAGGACAGCTGGACATATAAAGGGCCCCATTACCTTCAGTAGCTTAGGGCCGCATCAAACCTAAATCCGGCCCTGGATGCATATGGCCCTCAGCTTCGTTTCATGAACCCCTCGGCCTAATGTCAAAAAGCCCTCTGTGAGTGGCCATTCAGACCTCTGGTGAGGGCAATATGTCCCTCCGCTGTTGGATGAGGAGGAAAGAGGAGGCAGCACAAAAAGAGAGCGAGGAAAAGGGGTAGCCCTGCCCACTTTTGGCTCTGGCCCCTCCCACCTGTCCTTTGCCCCTCCCACTGTTCACATGTGGCCCCCTGACAGATCCTCTCCAAGCGGATATGGCCCTTCATCGAAAGGCCCTTGATCGAGAGTCTACTAGGCAGAACCCCTGTTCTGCCTAGTAGACTTAAGCTATAGGAAGGAAGATGTCAGGTGACTATTAAGAGAAAATTCTTAGCGGTATATACAGGCAGTGGCGGAGCGTGTCTTCAAGGCACCGAGGGATAGAGGTTATGGGTATACCGGGGAGAGTACGTGGAGGGCGTGAGGAGGACGCAGAAGGGCAAGCCTGCAGCCTTAAAATCAGTCTGATTGGGCTGATTTTAAGGGCGCATGCCTGTTGCATCCTTCTAATGCCCTGCCAACCCCACACTGCTTTGAGAGGCTGGGATGAGTGATCAGACTCATAAAGCAGCGCAGTGCTAGCAGGGGTGGCATGAGGAGCAAAATGCACCCACAAAAAATCCACAAACCTGCGCCCCCCCCCCTTGTCCTGCCTATGACATGCCACTGTGTACAGGTGAACTGTGGAACCAATTGTTGTTATTGTTTAGTCGTGTCCGACTCTCCGTGACCCCATGGACCAGAGCACGACAGGCACTCCTGTCTTCCACTGCCTCCCGCAGTTTGGTCAAACTCATGCTGGTAGCTTTGAGAACACTGTCTAACCATCTCGTCCTCTTTCGTCCCCTTCTCCTTGTGCCCTCCATCTTTCCCAACATCAGGGTCTTTTCCAGGCAGTCTTCTCTTCTCATGAGGTGGCCAAAGTATTGGAGCCTCAGCTTCAGGATCTGTCCTTCCAGTGAGCACTCAGGGCTGATTTCCTTAAGAATGGTTAGGTTTGATCTTCTTGCAGTCCATGGGCCTCTCCAGCACCATAATTCAAAAGCATCAATTCTTCGGCCTTCTTTATGGTCCAGCTCTCACTTCCATACATCACTACTGGGGAAACCATAGGCATTAACTATACGGACCTTTGTCGGCAATGTTTTCTAATTGGATTGAAGCTGGTTGAGGGGCAAAACACACACACCGAAAAGCAGTATTTTTGTAAGAACCTGTGGATCAATATGGAGTGTGGCTAATGTCATGTGACTGCAGCTTCAGAAATGAGCAGAGGGTGTGGAGGAAACAGTAAGGTGAACTTATCCTAGGTCTGAATTTCCTGCGTCAAGTAGGGACTTGGGCCAAATGTCCCCCTGCCATTGGATGTTTCTTTCTTTTTCTTTTTTAAAGTTATGATTGGCTAAATAGGCCTTCAATTAATCAGGAGGCACCCTGAAAACATTAAAAAACACTCTTTAAAATACAAGCACCTATACTAGAAAAATATTTAAAGGGTATAAAAAGAACAATATAGGAAGCAGCACTTCAAATGGAGGCATCTTGTCCTGTGAAAAAAATAAATGTGGAGGTGGAAGTTTGCTTTTAGCTCTTCTGGGAAAGAAGCGAACTGAAAATTTGTATTCAAAACTGGATCGTCAATACAGAATTCTTTTTAAAAACCACTATATACCTAAGCGATTTTAATCTAGGTAATTGGAATTTGAATAAAATATGATTTTTATCTAGTTGATTGGAATCTATGCAAAAAAAAAAATCCACCTCTAGGTCCTTTTCTAATGCAAGCCTTTTTAATGCAAACCCCCCCACACACACACACAAAAACATTATGGAGCGTCAGTCTGTCTGACATGTGGCAAAAATTGTATACCTAGGCTATGCAAAGATGTAATATGACATTAGATGCTATTCGAAAGGTCAAAAGTTTGGGGAGAGATCTTTCCCGGAACTACCAGAGGCTGTTTTCAGAAAGAAATCTAAGTACAATTCGTGGTTATCTGACGCAAGTTTACATTGTCCCAGTGCTATTTTTCTAGAAAAATAGGTGCCAGAACGAACCATGAACGCCTCCCTTGTTTCCTTATAATGTCAATGGCACCCATCAGAGAGGTGCAAGAACTGAGGTCCAACAAGTTCCAGCTGAAATAAAGCCCTGATCACCCCCAACATTTTAAAGGTTTATTTGAAAATACTTTATTTCGGGCTGAGGCCTCCACTGGGATGGAGCTCAGCACCAACAATTTTGAGAGGGGGCAGAGGAGGCCTGGCAACATGTTATCCTGGGAAACGTAGCGCGGCTTGACAGGAATCTGTCCCATGCCGCACAGCGTTGGGAGGCTGGCAGGTGAATGTTACATTGGGAGGAGGACTGCCCGGTCAGCCTGCAACATTCACCACACATGTGACATGGAATATGTGCAACATTAGCCTCCCCAATGTCAGGCGCAACTCGGCACCTATGTTTGGTAGTGTTGCACAGGTTTCAAATAAATTGGTACCTCGGGTTAAGAACGTAATTTGTTCTGGAGGTCCGTTCTTAACCTGAAACTGTTCTTAACCTGAGGTACCACTTTAGCTAATGGGGCCTCCCACTGCTGCCGCCGTGCAATTTCTGTTCTCATCCTGAAGCAGTTCTTAACCCGACGTATTATTTCTGGGTTAGCGGAGTCTGTGACCTGAAGCGTATGTAACCTGAAGCGTATGTAACCCGAAGTACCACTGTCTATCCAAATATATGGCTGCATCTTCTGACAGCATAAGCTTGAATTAAATACTTATTGTACTGCCATCCTGTTGTCTATAACTGGGTAGCCTTATGTAGGCCTGGCCTGGCTACTGCTACCAACATATGTCTGTGGTTCCCCTCGATGTGTCTCCTGGCTCCTCCTCTTGGCTGCCTGTCACCCATTTCAACCCATCTGGAGCTGTCCGCTCGACAAATTCTGCGCACATAAGCTAAGTTGGGCCAACCCCCCCCCCCAAGAAAGGCTTTTGAACCCATCTGCCCTTCTTAAAAAGAAGAGAAAGCAAGTAGAGTCTGCGGAATCAGGCCAATGCTTGTTTTGTGGTTGTTGTTCAGTCATTCAGTCGAGTCCAACTCTTTGTGACCCGATGGACCAGGGCACGCCAGGCACTCCTGTCTTCCACTGCCTCCCGCAGTTTGGTCAAACTCATGTTGGTAGCTTCGACAACACTGTCCAACCATCTCGTCCTCTGTCATCCTCTTCTCCTTGTGCCCTCCATCTTTCCCAACATCAGGGTCTGTTCCAGGAAGTCTTCTCTTCTCATGAAGAGGCCAAAGTACTGGAGCCTCAGCTTCAGGATCTGTCCTTCCAGTGAGCACTCAGGGCTGGTTTCCTTCAGAATGGATAGGTTTGATCCAAAGAATGCTTGTTTTAGAAAAGATAATGAAATTTGGGCAACAACAGCCCATGCACAAGCTAAAATGTACTATGCACCACTCACAGTTAGACTATCAGTGCAATCTAGGAATGCTTAAGTGAGAAGCCTCCACTAAGAGGAATGACGAGTGCAGTGGCAGAACATATACTCTGCATGCAAAAGGGCCCAGATTCAATCCCTGGTGTCTTCCGGAAGGGATGGGAAAAAATTCCACCTGAAATCCTGAAGAGCTGCTCTCCATCACTGTCGATAAAACTGAGATAGATGCAGGGCTTTTTTTTATAGCAGGAACTTGGCAGAACTGTGTTCCCTTACCTTTTAAAATTTTGTTTTTTGTTTGTTAGTTGGTGGGGGGGGAGGAATCTGGAACAGATATATACCCAATGCGTGAGCCAGAATTCCACCTCTATCTGTAATCAATAAAGCTGTGGCCATTTCTAATTCAGATCATTGTCTGCTTGAGTTTATTAATCACATCTTACATTTAGCCACTACCAGGGTGGGGCAGGGCTGTGGCACTGTGACTTGGGCCCACAATAAACAAACAAACAAACTTTGTGGTGAGTTCCCCCACTCCCCCCCCCAGAAAAAAGCCCTGACTAGATGGATTAGCAGTCTAGCTTGGTATGAAGAGCTTCCTAGTTCAGTGTGGGCCACTCCCTAGCACAGGCATCTCCAACGTTCAGCCATCCAGATGTTTTGGACTACAATTCCCATCATCCCTGACCACCTGTCCTGTTAGCTAGGGATCATGGGAGTTGTAGGCCAAAACATCTGGAGGGCCGAACGTTGCGGATGCCTGCCCTAGCAAGTGTGTTTAGGATTGCAGCAGCTTATAATATTTATACATTGAATAGAAAGGGAATATATAAATGACAGGAGTGCCAACTATGAAGGTGAGTAAAGGATGAAGGCAGCAGCATCTCTCTCCCAACTATTCTCATACTAGGATAGCCAACCGAGTAGTAGCAGCAGCAGTTTTCTAGTTGTGGGAGGTGGACACAAGCCTGGCAGAAATGTGGTCTTTAAATAAAACAAACAGGAAATAGTTTCCCTTGGGGGACCAGGAAGGGACAGCCGGCATCCTTTGAAAGGGGGGGAAAAACAGATTAAAAGTATTTGTGAAATGGCTAAACATAGCTGAGAGAGAGAAACAACCTTAGCCAAAGGGGGTTTCTTTTTCTGCTCCTTTGAAAAGGCTCATGTAGCAGAGAAAAGCAGCACTTACCCTAATGGGTAACTAACGGAGGGAGGTAGAATTAAATGAATGAATTTAAGTCAATTTATTCCCCTGGCTCTAACTCTTGGGATCTCTTTCCAGATGTTATTGAGAGCCAGTTCCCATCATGCCTGACTCCTGGTCATGATATCTGGGGCTGATGGGAGTTGGGAATCCAACAAGAGTTGGAGGCCGCCATATTGGCTACTCTGAGCACGACCATCCTTAAAGCAAAACGAACGTTAAATGCCTCAGACTGCACTAGGTGAAGAGGAGAGATGGATTGCACCTCACTCACCCTTGGCAGCTACATTATTCTGAGGTGTCACATGACTTGAAGGGGCAGGGGAAAGCAGGGATCAGGGCTGCAAAGCACACTTCCTATAGAGACGCACTGAGCTGAGAAGGATTCATTGCTTAGAGCTCCATGCTGTTAGCAGTCAACATCAAAACTGCCCATTTCTTGGCAACAGATACATAACACAGCATAGGAGCCAACTCCTAGGGGCAAAAGTCCACCCGGTAAAGTATTGGAGGGTCCCACCGCAAAGTTGATGGGCATTGCCCATCAAGTGTCATGTCATGTGCAAGTGTCATGTCATGTGATTATGTGGGGTGGGGCTTACCTCCCCATCCCAATATTTGATTTCAGTTGGCACCCCCGATTCATAGGGAGAAATGTACAGATCCCATACATACAGTGCTTTTTTTCTTCAAAAAATGTTTCGGGGTAGTCTCATTTTCCTACTCATATTGAAATACTGCCCCTCAATGAGGCCGAACTTAGATTCACAAAATGCTTAGGGGTATGCATACCCCTGCGTCCGTCCCCCCCCCCCAAAAAAAGCACTGCATGCATATATAGCAGGGATGAGGAACACGATCTGGTCTGCAAGCCAGGTTACTTCCCCTAACCTTCGCAGGCCATGTTTGACAGGTAGGCGGGGCTACCCACCTGCCAATCACCCGATGTTCCAATGACATCAGGGGAAGCAATGTGTTCCACAAGATGGCGTTTTCAAAGAGGCTCAGCAAGATTCACCAATCAGATGATTGTTTCGTCTTGACTTGAGAGCCTCTTTCAAAGTGCTATACAGTGGTACCTTGGGTTAAGTACTTAATTTGTTCCGCAGGCCTGTGGAAAAATCAGACGTGTACAGCTTTGGCATAGTATTATGGGCCATCTTTGCCAACAAAGAACCCTATGAGAGTGAGTGTTTGTGATCAAATAACTCTGCTTGCTGAAGTGTTTTTAGCTGCATACGGTTACAGTGGTACCTTGGGTTAAGTACTTAATTCGTTCTGGAGGTCTGTTCTTAACCTGAAACTGTTCTTAACCTGAAACACCACTTTAGCTAATGGGGCCTCCTGCTGCCGCTGCGCCGCCGGAGCACGATTTCTGTTCTCATCCTGAAGCAAAGGTCTTAACCTGAGGTACTATTTCTGGGTTAGCGGAGTCTGTAACCTGAAGCGTATGTAACCCGAGGTACTACTGTACTGGGAACTGATCCACCTGTCACCCCACTTTTGGCTCAGGCAGGTTTTCACCTTCACTATATATATATGATGGCAGGTGGACATGGCACTCCTGCCATATGTGCAAGATGGATGGAGCAGCCCCTATATTTTCGCAAGATATCATGTGCTTTTCTATGAAAGCTGCAGACTCTTCTCCTACATGGAATTGGGGGGGGGGAAAGGAAAGGGGGGGGACAGCACGAAATGCCAAACCCACATACATGCTATGATCTTCCTAAACACTATTTGCATAATGCAAGGACAATCCATCATTTCAAGTCAAAGCTTTATCAGATCAGAAATGACTGTGAGGGTTCAAATTAAGGAGGGAGACAACCAGGCTGGAAAGTCCCTCTGTGATGTAAAGTCAGTTTATTTCCATGGACTCTACTCCTCCATAGCTTGGGAATGGTAAGCCTTTGAGATGAAACAAATATTCAGAGCTGAATAATACATTCATTTTATATGCAGCAGCCGATTCAGAGCTACCAAGCATGTTCTAACAAAGCCAGTTTGCCTTTTCTTTAAAAGATAAGGGGCTAAACAGACTTTACAAACGCACTGAGCTGCCCAAAATGTACTAATGAATGCATCATGTATTAGAGGACATTTGACATGTCAGATCCATGCTGCCATCCAGAAAGGCCTTGGGGGCAGAGGTCCACAGCCCCACCCAGCACAAAAAGCAGGATGGCCCCCCAAACACAGGAGGAAAGGCTTACCAGTGCTGTACAGTGTTGGTGCTGACCTTTAAAGCCCTAAACGGCCTTGACCCAGTATACCTGAAGAAGCGTCTTCACCCCCATTGTTCTGCCCGGACACTGAGGTCCAGTGCCAAGGGCCTTCTGGTGGTTCCCTCACTGTGAGAAGTGAGGTTACAGGGAGAAAGGCAGAGGGCCTTCTCGGTAGTGGCACCCGCCCTGTGGAACGCCCTCCCAACAGATGTCAAAGAGAACAACTACCAGACTTTTAGAGGACATGTGAAGGCAGCCCTGTTTAGGGAGGCTTTTAATGTTTGATTTATTGCGGTATTTTAATATTTTGTTGGAAGCCGCCCAGAGTGGCTGGGGAAGCCCAGCCAGATGGGCAGGGTATAAATAAATCATCCATCATCATCATTATTTATTATTATTATTATTATTATTATTATTATTATTATTATTATCATCACACTGTGAAGTAAACTAATACGCATTCCCATTCTTCTGGGGTAGTCCTCACCCTGCGCTCAGCTCTCACCTGTGGTTCCTAGCAGCTGTCAGCATGTGACAGCAGCCACACCCCAAGAAATGGTTTTGATTGGCCAGGTGAGGGTAGCTGATGGGTCTCAAATGCTTGGCAGGTTTGGGACTTCCTCTGCATGCAAAGACAGACTCTGGCAGATAGAGTGGATGAGACTAATAGTGGGTCCAATGGTCAAGCGGGTGATTTCTGCACATGCTGTAGAGCAGTGGTTCTCAACCTGTGGGTCCCCAGATGTTGTTGGACTACAACTCCCATCATCCCTGAGTTCTGGCCTTGGTAACTAGAGGTGATGGGAGTTGTAGTCCAACAACATCTGGGGACCCACAGGTTGAGAAAGGCTGCTGTAGAGGGAAGTGAGGGGCAGGTGGGGCTCATCAACCTGAGAAGGTAGCCCATCTAGGAGAAGGTAAACTCTGATCCTCCACCTCCGCTGCCTTGCGGGATATCTTCAGGAAATGGCTAAGGAGTAAATGCAGAGTGGAGTCCCTAAGATGGTTGGATGATGCCTTGTATGCCTCCTTCCAACAACTCCTGCAGCCAAGCTGCTGCTAATGTCTTGCTCTGGCTCCACCCACTGCCGGCAAGTGGCCCCAGAAGGCTACCAAAAGAGAGGGAACATACCCCTCAGGTTAAGAGAATTTCCTCAACCTTGATTCTTGCGTGGAGTCCTTACGTACTTACATGAGCAAGCTCAGTTTTCTCAAACTCTTCCAGCTGCCGTTGGAAGCCCGCGTTTGGGTTGGCGCATGATCTCGATGCTCGCACCACCGACAGCGCGTCCTCCCAGCCGAGATCAGTGATGGTCATTATGTAGGCCACAACCAAGGTGGCACTCCTGGAAACGCCTGCAAGGCTGCATTGCCAAGCAGGTGTGGACAAGTAGATACACAGAGGTTATAGTAAGCTGAAAGCGCATCATGGACATTAGGTTTGACAGAAAGCATGTTTTTCTTTTTAAAAAACAAACAAACAAACCATACAAAATAATGATGATTCTCATTCAACAAGTGTATAAATTTCAAGTTTCAAAGCAAGGCATACTTCCCAAAGCAGTGCAGTGCTGAACATGATGGCAATGTTCCAAAATACGAGCATTTGCGGAAAATACTTTGTCCTATATACCTGAAGGAGCGTCTCCACCCCAATCATCCAGCCTAGACACTGAGGTCCAGCGCCGAGGGCCTTCTGGCGGTTCCCTCGCTGCAAGAAGCGAGGTTACAGGGAACCAGGCAGAGGGCCTTCTCGGTAGTGGCGCCTGCCCTGTAGAACGCCCTCCCAGCAGATGTCAAGGCAATAAACAACTATTTTACTTTTAAAAGACAACTAAAGGCAGCCCTGTTTAAGGAAGTTTTTAATGTCTGATGCTGTATTGTTTTTAATATTCAGTTGGAAGCCGCCCAGAGTGGCTGGGGAAACCCAGCCAGATGGGCGGGGTATAAATAATAAATTATAATTGTAATTATAATTATTACCAATGTTACAGGAATGCGCCACAAGCTTATACCAGTTCAGTGGGCATGAGTTCCCGCAAAGAATTCTGGGAATTGTAGTTTGGTAAAGATGCCCTGCCCTCAATGAACCTTATTTCTAAAGACATTGCACCAGCAGGCAACCTAAAATGGGCACCTTCATGCCTTCAGCAGAATAGATGCTCTGTGCAACTTGGAACAATGCACAGCTGGAACGTGGTATACTTGCATGCACACAGTCAGGCTTCAGCAACATTGGGGGTATAGCCTGGCTCTCAATGCCACATTTTTTTCTGGACCCATGGAAGGAATGACGAAAGTGGGCCTATTGCCTCTCTCCAGTACAATAAGCAGCAGGGGGAAGCGGCAACGCTTCAGAGACGCATTTGCTTCCCCCAATCTTCAGGAGTGGAAGGCAAGATCATGACTAAGACTGGAAAGGCTGAGAAGCAAAAAAGGTGCATCCTGCCAGACTGCATGGTAATCTAATGGGGCCCAAATTATCTCTGCCCTGCCCTGTGCTCATCCCAGAACACTGTTTTGAAGTCAAGCAGAGGCCGATGCGCTGAGAAGATTCCCATTTGGCTAAGCATCAGGTTGATGGGGCTCGACCAGCCTCCCTCTGTCGTGATCTGTGCAGGCCCAGCTCTACTCCAGCTTCATTCAGTGGAAAAGCTACCTTTGCCAAACTGAAAGATCATTGAAGCTACTGTTGCTGAAACCCTATACCCAAAATACTCCTACCCTCCCCACCACCACAACAGTGGTCTCAAATTATTTCACCTTTTCTGAAATTCAGAGCTGAGTGTGGATCCTTACGTAGCCAAGACACACAGTTCACGCACCAAATCTATCAGCAGAGGGAACCCAAAGGGTAAAGGTAAAGGGACCCCTGACCATTAGGTCCAGTCGTGGCCGACTCTGGGGTTGCGGCGCTCATCTCGCTTTATTGACCGAGGGAGCCAGCGTACAGCTTCCGGGTCATGTGGCCAGCATGACTAAGCCGCTTCTGGCGAACCAGAACAGCGCACGGAAACGCCATTTACCTTCCCGCCAGAGCGGTACCTATTTATCTACTTGCACTTTGACATGCTTTCGAACTGCTAGGTTGGCAGGAGCAGGGACCGAGCAATGGGAGCTCACCCCGTCGTGGGGATTCGAACCGCCGACCTTCTGATCGGCAAGGCCTAGGCTCTGTGGTTTAACCCACTGCGCCACCCGCGTCCCTACCCAAAGGGTTACAGGACTACAAAATATCTTCACAGGGGAGAACCTAAGGAGGGGAGCCTGAAAACAGACCAGTGAGCATGAAACCAGGAATAATCAAATGTAGAATAGTCTTAAATGAAATACGTACCAGTGAACAAGGCAGCTCTGACCTCCAAGTCGGCATTCATGGATAAATTCAATGCTTTCTTTGAAGTGTCTGACCCTTAAAAATTAGACGTAGACTTGATTTAGTCCCAATTAAGCTAAGGGATTTCTTATTCCTCTGTCCCACTGATTTGCCTTCTGAAAGAGGTTTGCAGTATTGCCCAGTGCTGTATTTTAGAGAGACATGGTTGCCTTTGCAGCCAAATATTTGGATAGCAATGCAACATACTGAGTAACACCAACTTAGTGGGTTTCTGGGGACAAGGGCAAAGGCCTTCTTGCTCTCCCAGGGGTGTGCAACTTGATGTGGTTTGATTTGTGGCCTGTTCTTGCTTTTTATCTTTTCATTGGGTGGGGAAGGACATTCCCCTTGTTACTGAAGGAGCGTCTTTACCCCCATCACTCAGCCCAAACACTGAGCTCTAGCTCCGAGGGCCTTCTGGTGGTTCTCTCACTGCAAGAAGTGAAGCTACAGGCAGTGGTGGAGCTTCATGCTCCGGCACCGGGGGGCGGAGAGCAGGTGGGGGCAGGGCTGGCACACGTCCCGGGGGCATGGCGCCCAGCGCGGGTGGGAGAGCAGTTGCGACGTCACCCTGGGGATCGCGCTGCTGGGGGCGGTGCACTCCCCCCGCACTCCTCTTCCTCCGCCAGTGGCTACAGGGAAACAGGCAAAGGGCCTTCTCAGTAGTGACACCCACCCTGCGAAACACCCTCACATCAGATGTCAAGGAGATGAATAACTATATAACCTTTAGAAGACATCTGAAGGCAGCCTTGTATAGGGAAGCTTTATAATGTGTAATGATTTCTTACGTTTTTATGAATGTGGTGTCATCTCAAACTCTGCATGTATGATGGCTACCTTGCCAGTGATTATCACAAGAAAATCGAGGTAGCAAGGGTCCTCCACCCTCATTTCTTCTTCCCAAATTCCCCGGCCTCCCACTTTTTGCAGCCAGAAAATTGGGTGGTGACATGTGGCTGTACGTACACACAGTGTGGTCCAGATGTATGAATAACACCAAGCAACTCAGTGGTTAGCAGCACACTCTGTGCACCAGGACCCCTTGGTCCAAGTCACAACTCCTTGGCTTGATCAAATCTCAGCCCAGCCATGAAGCCTATGGGTAACCTTAGGCAAGCTACAGCCACAGCTGTCAACTCTAATAAAGAGATATTTTATTTATTTATTACATTTATATACCGCCTTTGTATTCCAAGGACCTTAACGTGGTGTCCTAGTCTACTTTATACAGCTGTTGTAAGGAGGGGTGGGATAATGGGTGATAAAATACAGTGGTACCTCAGGTTAAGTACTTAATTCGTTCTGGAGGTCTGTTCTTAACCTGAAACTGTTCTTAACCTGAAGCACCACTTTAGCTAATGGGGCCTCCTGCTGCCGCCAGAGCACGATTTCTGTTCTCATCCTGAAGCAAAGTTCTTAACCCGAGGTACTATTTCTGGGTTAGCGGAGTCTGTAACTTGAAGCGTATGTAACCTGAAGCGTATGTAACCTGAAGCGTATGTAACCTGAGGTACCACTGTATAGTGTTAGTAGCTCATTTGAAGCAGCTGCTCCACGGTTGGGGACACTTCATCACCACCCACAGCACAGTCTGAAATAAACATTTGTACCCAACGCAGAAGAAATCCCCACAATCGTTCTCAGAGTGTAAACTTCCTAAATCTTACATCTGCAAGGCTAGAGTCTTCCCACCCACCCCTAGCTTTTCAGCTCGGCCTTGGGAAATTACAACCCCTTTTGTGGGGTTCATCTGCAGCTTAGACAACAATGTGTTGAGAGAAGGTACACATCATGGAGGATAAGTCTATCAGTGGCTACTAGCCACAAAGGGCATGTTCCATCTCCACTGTTGGAGGCACTATGCCAGGCATAGGTAAACTCTGCCCTCCAGACGTTTTGGGACTACAATTCCCATCATCCCTAGCTAACAGGACTAGTGGTCAGGGATGATGGGAATTGTAGTCTCAAAAACATATGGAGGGCAGAGTTTGCCTATGCCTGCACTATGCCTTTGACTACTACTTGCTGGAAATCACCAGTGGAGAGAGTGCTGTTGCAATCAGGTCCTTCTGACTGGCTTCCCATGGGCATACAGTTGGCCGCTGAGAGAACAGGATGCTAAACTACATGGGCCTTTGGGGCTGACCCAGCAGGGCTCTTTGAATTTGTTCTTACTGCTGCAACAGGTCTTACAGATATTAAGAACCCATCTTCTCACTCTTGCCATTTTGTAGCGCCACTAGAAGGGGTGGCTGGGAGGGAGATGCAAGGCGTACACATGCACATTCAATGGCCTAACGGTGTCCATGTCACCTGGGAGATTGCAGAGATAATAAAAGAAGAGTCATTACGTTGTCCAGAGAGGTACCGTATTTTTCGCCCTATAGGACGCACTTTTTCCCTTCCAAAAATGAAGGGGAAATGTGTGTGCGTCCTATGGGGCGAGTGCAGGCTTTCGCTGAAACCTGGAGAGCGAGAGGGGTCGGTGCGCACTGACCCCTCTCGCTCTCCAGGCTTCAGGAAGCTATCCGCAAGCCTTGGGAGCCCGCGGGAGTTCCCGCCGGGCTCCCTAGGCTTGCGGATAGCAGCCTGCATCCTGAAGCCTGGGGCGCGCTGAGGAGCGCACCCCGGGCTTCGGGCAGATATCCGCAAGCCTGGGGAGACCAGTGGGAGTTCCCGCCGGGCTCCCCAGGCTTGCGGATAGCAGCCTGTTCTGGGGGCTGGGGTCAGGGGAAGCTCGGGCTTCCCCAGCCCCGCGCCTGGGGGGGAAATAATTTTTTTTTCTTTATCCCCCCCCCCCAAAAAAAACTAGGTGCGCCCTATAGGGCGAAAAATACGGTAATTTCCCAGTTTGTTTTCAATGGAGCCCAGCTATATTGAGGCAGCACTGGGTGTTGAAATCTCACACATCCTAACAATCTTGTGCCCGGGGCAACAGCCGGTGTGGCCCACCCGAGGCAACGCAAGAGCCACAGGGGAATAAATGGAAGGCCCAGGGAAATCCAGAGCACAGGAGATCTGGGTCTTGGTTACTTAAATTGGGAAAGCTACCAGATCACACATACACAAAGGCATCTATTAGTATAGTCACGGTAACCACAGTGAGCAGCACAGTGTCTCAAGGGAACTCACTGAACCGAACAGCCAGGAGGGGAAGCCTGTAACTCAGCGGTTAGGTTCATGTTTTGCATGCAGAAGGTACCAGGTTCTGCTGGGGGATTCCTCTTGGAAACCTGGTGAGCCATTGCCAGTCAGCATAGACAATCCTGGCCTAGATGGACTTAACAATCTGCCTTGGAAGAAGGCAGCTCCTATGTCCCCATCTTGCCCTTTCGCCCAGTGACAGCACCAAGTGCACATCTGGTTTCTGGGAAAGGGCTGCCTGCTGGTAGCTCGTTCAACAACCAGTTCAGCAGGCCGGAAGGGCAACTCATTAGGAAACAGGGATCACACTGGGGTTTTTTCCACGCTCACCATTTATAGTGGTCTGGCAGCTGTTTGATCCAACGTTTTCAAGAGTGAATTTCTAGCTGCCCCGGCTGCACTTTTGGTCACACATTGCCATTATTAGACTGCGAGTGTGGGGTTTTCCTTTCCACACTAATGGCGGGTTGTGCCCAAGTTGAGAAATGTTCTGTGTCCGTTAGTCACACCCCTTGTGTACTCTTGTGCTCCTCCAGCCCAGTACACATTGGAGTTAGGCGCATGCTTCCTTTGGGTATATATGTGTTTAATGCTCAACACCCTGTATGTAGTAATAATAATAATAATTTTTTATTTATACCCCACCCTTCCTGGTTCAGGAAACCAGGCTCAGGGTGGCTAACAACAAATTAAAAACACTTAATTGATGCTACAAAAAACCCACACAACAGCATAAAATACGGTATAAAGCGTAAATAACAATAAAATCAAAAATCAATTTAAGGGGAAAATCCATCCAATAAACATTAGATGATCACCAGGGCTAGCTGGCTAAATTAGTCCCACTTGGGCCAGCGAGGAGACCAGGGGAGAACCAGCTGTGGGATCTCAGAGAGGGCAATCTTCACAAAAAGGGGAGGGGAAGGGAAGGAAGGGGAACAAAAGATCAGGCCAGGTTCAAATTGAAAGCCAGGCGGAATAGCTCTGTCTTACAGGCCCTGCGGAAGGAAGTTAAATCCTGCAGGGTCCTTGTCTCAAGGGACAGAGAATTCCACCAGGTCGGAGCCATCACTGAGAAGACCCTGGCCCTGGTGAAGGATAATCTAACTTCCTTAGGGCCTGAGACCTCTAAACTATGATTATTCATGGACCTTAAGGTCCTCTGTGGGGCATACCAGGAAATTAGAAAAAGAACCACGTTTGTGCCTGAGCTATGGAAAACCTGGCTACTGTGATGAAATTTTGTCTGTAGCTAATGACTGCTGTTGTGGGCAGGACTTTGAGTCAGGACCATCATCTCTCTCTCTCTGCCATCTCTTTTCTTTGAGCTGAGATCACAGACCACTTGCACAGGTCAGAGGGGAAGGGGTGCAAGACAGGCATCTGCCAAACCGCACCCAACAACCCTTCCTGCACAGAAACTGGGACCATGATTGGCACATGCCACACAAATGGAAACAGCGAGGTTCCCTCACTGCAAGAAGCTAAGCTACAGGGAATCAGGCAGAGGGCCTTCTCAGTAGTGGCGCCCGACCTGTGGAACGCCCTCCCATCAGATGTCAAAGAGATAAACAACTACCTGACATTTAGAAGACATCTAAATTCAGATAATTTATTCAGACACCTTATTCAGATAAGGCAGCCCTGTTCCAGTAAGTTTTTAATGTGTGACATTTTAATGTATTTTTAATATTCATTGGAAGCCGCCCAAAGTGGCTGGGGAAACCCAACCAGATGGGTGGGGTACAATTAATAAATTACTATTACTATTCCGGATCTCTCCCAAAAGTTTGATTATTATTTTTTGCAATAGAAAGAAATGGATTTTTTGACTATATTGTTCTGGAACCATGCCATTAAAAAAAAAAAAAACAGCAACTATATCACTATAAATGGTAAGTTTGGAAAGGTCCTTAGACCAGGGGTCAGCAAACTTTTCCAGCAGGGGGCCAGTCCACTGTCCCTCAGACCTTGTGGGGGGCCGGACTATATTTTGAAAAAAAGAAGAAGAACGAATTCCTATGCCCCACAAATAACCCAGAGATGCATTTTAAATAAAAGGAGACATTCTACTCATGTAAAAACATGCTGATTCCTGGACCGTCCATGGTCTGGATCCGGCCCCCAGGCCTTAGTTTGCCTACCCATTCCTTAGACTCACAACCTTCCAACATTTTGATTCACCTGGGTGGGGGGTGCCACACAATTCACTTCAGGGTGGTAGCTTTTCAAGACACCCAAATGCACCTGAATTCATTGAATCTGTAGCTGGAAACTCTTCCAATGGTACAAAAACGTCACATCTCGTTTTTTGCTTCAAATTATTATTCTTTTAAGTCTCTTAACTAATAGATAAAAAGTCTTAACTAGTCTAACATACAGATGACCGAAGAGGAACTGCAAAAAGGCTTAACACAGAGATAAGCCAAGAGGAACTGCAGAAACCATCAGCAAAGAGGAATATCCTAAAGAACCCAACATGGTGCTTTGACGTCCCAGTGAGCAGCTGATTGTTGGGACTCTAAAGTGCTGCATCACTCAATGTCATTGTAATGCCACATGATTGAACAGGAGGAGTTCCTGCCAACCTGTTATATTTAGCCCGAGGTGGGGGATAGATTTAGGGGACAGAGAATCTGGTCTGCTGGCCTGATCCAGTTCCCTAAGCCACATTAGAACCCTTGGGAACCACCAGTAAACACAGATGAAAATATTCCATGTGCCAAGCACCAGCAGGGTATGGCACTGTATCTTCAGATCAGCAGATATAGGGAGTGTCAATTTCAGCCTCTCTCAATACTGTTACAACTCTGTGAGGCTCTATGGGCATAAATGGAACTATATAAGCAACAAAAACCATGAAAAGAGAAAAGGTGCTCAAATATTGCTCCCCAGATCAGTATTCCCAACATGAACTGAAATAATCAATCAACCCGTTTTTCAAGATATTTGGGATCTCTCTGTTGCATGAGAGAAGCAAATCTACTAAAAATATCTCTCGAAAGCATCAGGCCAAAGAGGCAGTGCTTTGATCTGAGAGAAAAAGGCAGCGCTACATTTCCTTCCGTAGGCACCAGGCAGGCCCTTTGAAACTACTTTTGTTTCTCTATAAAACAAATTATCAGGAAGTGGCTGAAACTCCCCTCCCTCCTCACCTCCCATACGCATAAACAGTGAAGACGAGAAGAAAAACTTGGTTCCTGTCCAAGTGTTCTTGTAAAGTTGATGCAATTACAGGGGTACCTCGGGTTAAGAACTTCATTCGTTCTGGAGGTCTGTTCTTAACCTGAGGTACCACTTTAGCTAATGGGGCCTCCCGCAGCCGCCACGCCGCTGCTGTGCAATTTCTGTTCTCATCCTGAAGCAAAGTTCATAACCCGAGGTACTATTTCTGGGTTAGGGGAGTCTGTAACCTGAAGCGTCTGTAACCTGAAGCATATGTAACCCGAGGTACCACTGTACTCTTCAGAGTCAAGGTAGCTCAAAGCCCCTTTGCATGGTCAACCCAACCTGAGAACTGGCAACTCAAATGCAGCTCCCCCAGCCAGTTACTGTGGCCTGCGAGGTGCATGACAATCACTCCTCTCCTCTCCTCTCCTCCCCTTCCCAATTCTTGCATTTCTAGGTAGGAGGCAACGAAAGAAAGGCGTTTTTAGAACATTTGGCTGCATTTGGCTTGGTGTGTCTCCAGTTGTACAAACCTGTTTCAGGAGACTGTAGCCAGGCTCACAGACGCCATGTTTCTGATTCCCATTATCTACCACTTTTCTATCCTGGCATAACTCTTCCAGGAGCACTGATTCCTTTTATCCTCCCAACAACCTTAGGGTTGCCATACATCTGGAATTCCCAGACACAGCCAGGATTCGGCCGTCGTAAACAGCATTCGGGGGAAAATCACTGAATGTCCAGGAAAATCCAGACATACGTCAACACGTCAGAAGTGTAGATTTTGGCAAGTTTCCTTTAAAATAGCTCTAAACTTCTTCTTCTTCTTCTTCTTCTTCTTCTTCTTCTTCTTCTTCTTCTTCTTCGAGATTTTGGCCAAAATTTTTAAAAAGCTCAACAACTTTTGTGTTTTTGAAATATGGCAGATAAGGAGACATCAACTTGCTCAAAGCTACCTAGGAAACCTCATGGCACAGATAGACATTTGAACCCAGATATCCCGAGTCAAAGAGTCCACCATTACACCTATCTCTCACCAGTAACAGGACTTTTAGACATAGGGCTGTATCCAGCAAACTTCTACACAGAGTAGAGCCAACGAAATGAAGGGACACAAACCAGCCCATTAACTTAAGCGAAACTATTCTGTGTAGGATTAGCATAGAATACCGCCACCTGTTGCATGTAAAAATAAAAAGGAAAATGGAGTCGTTAAGAAGTCAAAGCTATTTACATATCCAAGAGGGAGGCATTCCATATCAAACAGTACCGGGTCTATAGTTCACTTGTCTAGTGTTGCCATTAAAAAAAAATACTTACAAATTCTGTGAGGGCGAATCTGCAGCAGGAATGCACAGATACTTCACTCCCTGCATAAAAAAATATATAAATATATTAAGGAAGAGAAAGTGCACACACATTCAAAGACTGTCTTCTTTCACTTGGTGCTGCTCCCAGGAAGCCATTTTAAGACCTGGTTTCATCGGCGCACGATCACAAACCACCACGTACCCAGACGTCAAAGTGAATCTTGGTGGTGGAAACATTAGCTCCAGCTCTTCTGTTCCATTTGTCATTTTAACATGTCTTGTTTGTCCTGCAATGCTATAAATTGCTATTTTACACAACTTACCGCTTTCTTAAAATGAATGTAGATTAAGTAAGTGTGCATTCAATGTTGGTTGGGGAAGGCTGTTACTATTTGCCGTGCTATACTGAATTAGTTAAATAAGTAATGGAAAGCAAAGAGTAACGGTGTAGCATGGGTATTACTTTTTAATAGATGTTTTCGTTCTCAAGATTATTACAGTGCTGAGCTGAATGAAGCCTTCCCTCCCCACAATAAAACGTATTCTTAATCAGTCCTCACCAAAATCTCAGACAGAGTTAGAAGTGGGTGTCTCGGTAGTAAGAGAGAAAGAAACCTAAGCTAAAAATTGCTTCACTATTTCCATTCTACTGATTTCATAATGGGAAATTAAAAGAAACTTTATTGGATGTTAATGACAATAGGAATTAAAATGTAAAATACAATCAAGGTAACTAATTGTATCTGTAAATGAATATAGACAAACAACAAGACGTATACATACAGAAAAAATTATTTGTATATAGACACTGTACGGATAAAGTTGAAAGAAAAACAACAATATACAAAATCAATAAAGGCAATGCGAAAAACTTAGAGACGACATTAAAAAGCCAGAAGAGGGAAGGAGGGAAGTCAACTCATAGGAATAAATGTAAATGTAAATTAATGTGTATATGTATAGTATGTAATCATAAAATCAATAAAGATTATCTTTTTTAAAAAAATTGCTTCACTAGATATGTATAACTTGTGGAAGAGTCTCATCTAGTCCAACATTTCAACAGCAGCCAGTCAGACAACTTTGAAACTTCAAAAGCTGGGCACAAAGGTGATACTCGCTCGCTCACTGGAAGCCAACTTAAACCAAGACAGACCTTTGACCAATCTTATAGACTCATAGAACTGTAGACCTGGAAGGGACCATCTTGCTAAGTGCTGCGTATATAGAATGACATCTCTCTACAGCATCCTTCCGTGGTATCCTCCAAATGAATTGGACTACAACTCCCATGAGCACCAGGCAGCACAATCAAAAACGTATGGGGGGCACCAGGTTGGGGAAGGGTGCTCTAGGGCAGGGGCAGCCAATTGGTGGCTTCCAGGTGTTGTTGGATTCTCATTTCTATCAGCCCCAGCCAGCATGGCATGGGACGATGGGAACAGTAGTCCATCAACATCCGGACGGCACCAGGATGCTCCAAGGCCAGGGTAGCCAACATGGTGCCCTCCACATGTACAGTGGTAACTCGGGTTAAGAACTTATGTCATTCTGGAGATCCGTTCTTAACCGTAACTGTTCTTAACCTGAAGCACCACTTTAGCTAATGGGGCCTCCCACTGCCGCCGCGCAATTTCTGTTCTCATCCTGAAGCAAAGTTTTTAACCCGAGCTACTATTTCTGGGTTAGCGGAGTCTGTAACCTGAAGCGTGTGTAACCCGAGGTACCACTGTAGATGAATTACAACTTTCATCAAGCCTGACCACCGGCCATGCTGGCTGGGGGCTGATGGGAGTTGGGAGTCAAACAGCATAAGGAGAGAACCACAATGGCCCTAGGGTTCCTTACAGTGGTTTCCTCCAGACCCACATAGAGATTCATCTCCTCCTGCTTGCAAAGCATATGCTCTCCTGCAAAACTCTTGCCTTCCCCTTCTCATTTGTTCCCTGTTTTGTGTGTGGGATTCCACCACATGCAGGTTGCACAATAGCTTGGGTAACAAATCCATTCCCGTCGCCCACAAAACTAGACTTCTCTGCAATGAGGCTGGTGATGGAGAAATGTATTGGAAACTACAAGGTAACAACTACTTGATGGGAAGTCATGTAACCTGCCTGTGAACAAATGCTCAATGAACAGTGGGTACCACGTGAGCCCCCCACAAACTGTGCAAACGCATCAGAATCAATGCTCACAAGTCACCTGGAAATGGCTTCAGTGTTGCACTGCTTCAGAATAAGAAGATAGCTTTCTGTTAGAATTGCCACTGATGGAGCCAGTAAGAAATCCTCGTAAGAACAGACCTGCCCTTGCACTTATAACACACGGCTAAGGGACGCGGGTGGCGCTGTGGGTTAAACCACAGAGCCTAGGACTTGCTGATCAGAAGGTCGGTGGTTCGAATCCCCATGATGGGGTGAGCTCCCGTTGCTCGGTCCCTGCTCCTGCCAACCTAGCAGTTCAAAAGCACGTCAAAGTGCAAGTAGATAAATAGATACCGCTCTGGCGGGAAGGTAAACGGTGTTTCCGTGTGCTGCTCTGGTTTACCAGAAGTGGCTTAGTCATGCTGACCACATGACTCGGAAGCTGTACTCCGGCTCCCTCGGCCAATAAAGCGAGATGAGTGCTGCAACCCCAGAGTCGGTCACGACTGGACCTAATGGTCAGGGGTCCCTTTACCTTTACCTTAAATTCAATACTTAAAGTCTACGCTTATTTTACCTATGAATGCTAAACCTGCTCTACTGCTTCAATCTAAATGCCACTGCTTAAAAACAAGATTTGCAAGAATTGTCCCCCCCCCTTTTCCATGCTTTATTAATTGAAAATTGTATAACAGAAATTATCATTAGATGTTGAAGACAGCATAAAAAGTAACAAAAGAAAAAAAATCTACAGTCGTTCATTCCTCAGTTATTTTCCTTTTACATCTTTCTGCAATTGATTTCAACGTGACCTCCGATCTTCCCATTATGTTCCCAGATTATATTTCTTGGATGCGCACTTAGCTTTATTTTCTCCATGTTGTTTGACTTACTTTAAGTCTTCTAATATTATCCTATTCACTCACAGAAGTTCAATCAATACCTGCCAACAGATTAATATTTTGACAATGTTCTTTTACATAAACTCTATATATGTCCCACTCTCTGATAAATTTTTCATCTGTAACGTCTCGTAACCTCGCTGATAGTCTCGCTAGTTCAGAATACTCTCTGAGTTTATTTTGCCAGTCTTATTTGGATGGGATATCTTTTCCCTTCCAGCCTTTTGCAATTAAAATTCTGGCAGCAACTGTAACATACATAAAAGGGTAAAGGTAAAGGTACCCCTGCCCGTACGGGCCAGTCGTGTCCGACTCTAGGGTTGTGCGCCCATCTCACTTAAGAGGTGAGCGCTGTCCGGAGACACTTCCGGGTCACGTGGCCAGCGTGACGAAGCTGCTCTGGCGAGCTGGCACCAGCGCAGCACACGGAAACGCTGTTTACCTTCCCGCTATAAAGCGGTACCTATTTATCTACTTGCACTTAGGGGTGCTTTCGAACTGCTAGGTGGGCAGGAGCTGGGACCGAAAGACGGGAACTCACCCCACCACAGGGATTCGAACCGCCGACCATGCGATCGGCAAGCCCTAGGCACTGAGGTTTTACCCACAGCGCCACCCGCATCCCCCAACATACATAAAGACTCTCCTAAACTTTTTGGGAATTTCATTACCCATAATTCCTAGCAGGAAGGCTTCCAAATTTTTAGGGAAGGAGCATTTGAACATTTTTTTCTGCTTGTTATAAATCATTTTCCAGAACTGTCTAATCTTATTACAGTTCCACCACATGTGGATCCATGTGCCTTCAGCCTCCCTGATTTGCAATAATTGTTATATATATATATATATATATATATATATATATATATATGCTTTCGTAGATTTTCACGGGTACAGGAATGCAGGTTTTGGTGTCCTCGGGTGTCTTCCCGTGTAAAAGTTGGGGTGTCTAGGCGACGTTTCGACGAGGTCTCACTCGTCATCTTCAGGCTGGTGCTTTCGGCTTCTTGTTACTGGAACAGAGCGGGATCTCAGTGTTTGAGTTCCTATAAATACTGTTGAGGAGGTGTGGTGTATAGCCTCCAATGTTCTGGGCAGAGAGGAAGTTCCCAGGCTAGTGTGCCTTTTCTTCTTTTGTTCCTTATATATATATGGGATGTGTTCAATATTGCAGGGCTCATTTTGCAGTCGTAGTTGATCAAAAGCAGAATCCTTCCTGTGCACACCCGCATGCAAGCTGTCTAAGAATTGTCCCAAAATGACCTCCAATTGTCAACAAGCCACTGTTCTAGTGCATATATTCTATCTATCATCTATCTATCTATCTATCTATCTAGCATCCATCTATTTTTGATATGTATACATTACATTCAACAACAACAAACTTTGCTGCTTATTATGCAAGCAGACTTCATCGGGGGTTTTGTGGCTAAGTGTGGACGACTAAAGGAAATCTGACTGCAAGAGAAAAGGGGAAACGACAGCCACCAGTGTAACTGATTCAAGGTGCAGATAATATCGAAGGCAAGGCTGGTGAATACATGGCAGTGGGGTGAATGGAAGACCCGGCTGATTCCAGCTGGTCTTTGAATCACATCCCCTGCAGGTCCAATTTCAATGGTTCTGTGGTATTGTGAGCAACTTCATCCAATCTGCATTGAATTTCACAATATAAAGAGCAGGATAGATGCATAAAAATTGGGTTACTTATGTATGGTGAGGGAAGCAGCAACAAACATAGTTACCAGGCATGAACAGTTTCATGCAAATTTCCAATTTTGTGTAGGTATTTTCTAAGCAGCGCCATAACAAAAATCTGTCTTATCACAGGTCATCATGACAAGAGCCTCACCCTGAAACTTACTATATCAGGGTTGCACACCCCACAACTGTCCCAGAAAAACAGGGACATTCATTTTTTCCTGCGAGAGCATGGCGGATATTTTGGCCGCCATGGTCTCATGTGATTTCGGGGTGCCCTCTCACCCCCCAAAACACAATCTCACATATTTTGGGGCACTATGCCTGAAAAAAAGCTTTTGGGGGGCCCAAAAATGCACTTTTTGGGTGCAGTGTCCCCAAAAGTGCTTTCTTTGGGACTGCAATCTCGCGCAGGTCACATGAATCACGTGGGAGTGCGGCCCCGGAATATGGTGTTCTCATTTTTCCTGACATCATGTTGGAGGGTATGGGGTTGCTGGCATAATATCTAGAGTGGGCCATCAACCAACAAAAACCAAAAGTCAGTCAAAATACAACAAGGCCAATTTCTCCAAATTCCAGTGCCTTCGAAAAGGCGTGCATTGGAAGCCAATAAATTCATTTTCCTCTCAGTTTTCTATTTCATCAGACAAGAGTAACCACAAAGAGAAGCTTTTTTATTTCTCTTTAGGCCCTGAAAGTCAAGCGAACTGTTAAACCGATACAAAGGGAGAGTTAACAAAACTAGCGCAAGTATTCAGATTTCAAGATTGTCATAGCTGAAAGAAGCAAGAGTTCAGCTCTGCAGAATGTCTGATATTTGCTCTTATTACTCTAACAGCCATCATGCTGGTACCAGGTCAAGATGCTGGAAAATTCTGATGCTAGGTAAATTGCCTCACCAGGGCTTTGCCCAGATAAAAACTACTCACTCAATTTTACATTTTAAAGAAAAGCTGTCATCAAATTTTACATATATTTCAGATTTTCCAAACCCATGTATTCGTTTTCAGTTAACAGGAAAATCATGACAGTAAGTATTTTGAGCTAGTTAACAGATTTGCTCACGAAACCCACAATGAGTTCTACATTTATATAGAAAATACAAATAAAAATTGTATAAAGAAAATGCTTTAAAATTTCTAGGGCATGGAACTGAATAGCTGGCTATCTCTTTAGAAAGGTATTTTAGCCTCTGTTTTAACACTCTAGAGAACCGACAACAATTTGAAAATTCTGATTCACAATTTTGTTAGCCACATAACACCACTTCTGATTCTGAAGGAGACAGACCACTCAGTAATTGTTGTTGTTTTTAAGGTCCCAATTCTTGTTCATTTAAAAGAATAAAGAATGAGCAAACGCAGGATAGTAAGATCTTCAGAATGTACAATAGCAACTTGCATTCAGTTGCTATAAATGAATGTGAACAACAATTTTTTTAAAAAAGTTATGAAGCCAAAGAGTTTCTTTCAAAGAAACTTAAATGAAACAAATGTCCACATTAAAGATCATTAAACCAATTGTTTCATTCTTATATACACATTCTCAGCGAAAAGAATAATACTTATTCAAGTTCTTTAAGCTAGTAATCCAAGTACTCTAAATTTGTGGTGAACGAAGAAAATGTAACCATCTACTTTTAAGTATATTCTATCAGTTACATGCTGTTCAAACAAATTTAGGACCAGATATTTAATTCCCCTGATCTAACACCAATCTCCCGTTTGAAAGTTTGCTTTGAGACTTCAGAAACTTTGAAACTTTAGATGCCTGTCTTCTCGGAGACTTATGAATCATCATTTTTTTTAAATGGAAAGGGCAATAACCAATCAGGACTTTTGAGCTGTCCTAAATGACCACAAATTTCTAGGCTGAAATTAAGCAGTTTAAAAAGAAAGAAAGAAAGGCCTTATTTTTGGCATTGAACTTCTCGGTATTTAAATTTATGTAAACCTTTCAACGACAGCTTCCAAGAAACACTTTAAGAGCCAAAAACAAAACCTCGGGGCACCTCATTTTGAAGGAAGATGCAAATAAAAACCCTCAAACACCTGGCAAGTTCTTTCAGGTTAGCCCAGAAAAAAAACCCCATGTGCTATTTTGACTTGCCACATCAACAGATGAGGGGTGGACATACCTCTTTCGAATGAGAGGCATTTCATCAAAACGGCTTAATTAGGAAACAGTTGGTTTCTCAAGGTTTTCTCGAACACAACAAGAGGTTATCAAGAGTTCTGCCCAGTACAGCTAAAGAACCGCTTAGGGGGAGAAGGGGGGGGGAAACCCCAGTAATTTGTTTATTTGTCCTTTCAGTTGCTTTAAGGAGCAGTCACCCAAGTACAGTACAAATGCTCATGACTCATTTTATTATTGAAAATATTCAAAAGTTTCAGCAATAAGCAAAGCCATTTCGCCGTTATTTTATCGTTGAAATATTTGTTGAAAATGCATGGGGGAAACTGGCTGTTTAAAATTCAAATACAAGAAGGCAACCAACTAAGGTGGATTGTGCAATTGTTTCCGAACTCAAGAGACTAACCGACCAGGACAGGTTCCATTCCACCACTAATAAAAGTGGTTGTTGAATCACAATCTTAAGATTGAATTTGCTTCGGAAATGCCCTGACCATCATTGAACGTTGTTCCTATTGACCTCGCCTTACAAAAACAGATCCTCATGCAACTGAATTACTGGTGTTGAGAACCAAAATATAAGAAACATTAAAACTCCAATGGTAAACTCTTGAACTAAAACTTCTTCAGGCGAAGTAAAAATGATCATTTCAAGTAAACCTAATGCTTCTCTGAAGAGATCAGTGGAACCTGGGCTTTCCCCAGATTCCAAGCAGTTGCTTTCAGATCACAATTGTGTTTGATTCTTTAACGCTATGGGGGCGCAGACTACAGAAGAGGCAGGGGGGTGTCCTGCCCTCAGCTTGGAGAATTAAAATTCAAATGTGCTTAGTAACAGGGAAACTGATCAACCCATCAAATGAAATCCGACAGTGCTTCACACACAGAAAAATCTCAAATTCAAAACAGAGAAACATTTAATTAGCCAGTACTATGAAACCTCTGAATCTTAAAAGCCACAAATTTGACAGTAAATTGATAAAACGGATCGAGGTATGATGAAATTTACAGCACCATTCCCCGCAGAATTGCAGCTGTGAAGAGGTCAACTGCATCCTGTAACTAAAGAAAAATAAAATTGCCTCCCAGATTTCTTCAGTCAATTCATAAAGTATTAAGAGTGAACAATCATCCCTATTATAATCTGGGACAAATCCAAGTCAATGTCTTATTGACTATTTTTTGAAGATATACATGCACAACTCATGTGAAACTATCCTGCCAGAAGCATATAGGTGGAATAGTGTTGCTTCTTCTTAGCAGAGTTTCCCCCATCAGTTTTGTAAAACGTGAACTTGCTGTGAAAATTTACCCTGTAAACTCTGAAAGACATGTTAGTCAGAGTGCCCTTGTGCCTTTAAATTTGGGTCCACATCTAAAAAGAAGAGATGACAACTCCCACTGATTTTTAAGCTCAGTGCTATCCAAATCAATCCATCTGTACTATACAGTTAAAGAAGTATCTTGCCAGCCATGACTTCCTCCAAAGAATCCTTTTTAGGGTGCTGAGTGTAGGAGATTCCTATTCCTCTCGCAGAGCTATGATTTCCAGAGTGGTTTAACAATCAACCCCTCTTCCCAGGGAACTATGAGAATTCTGGCTCTGAACATGGAATTGGTGTTGGGGGGTTCTCTGTAACCGCCCTGGATTCTGTAAGGGAAGCCAGGGCTGTTTAACATGACATGATACTGCTTTAAATGCATAGTGCATAGTGGAGCCTTTGTCGCCGATCACAGAAAATTCAAGGCAACTTTCCAAGTGGATGGCAATATATGTCAAGAAATAATAAACCCAGCCCATTAAGCTCGCCAAATTTGTTACACACCAAATAACCACAGTGTAACCTAGACTTTCAAACTGAGCAAACTTTCTTGCTGGCGGGGGGTGTGTGTGTTTAATTGTTATATTATGCTCTTGGCCGTAAATTTCAACCTTTCTGAATGTTGCCATCCAAATACAGGCCTCTCCACCCCCTTGCAAGCAGGCAAGATGGATTATCACAGCCCAAGGATCCTAACCCAAGTCCTGTGAAAACAGATGGGGGAGAGAGCTTCTGCATCATCCGTTGTCCAGGATATTGCTCCAATTCAGCACTAAAGATTGGGTTTCCCCTGGGGAAAAGAGGGGAGACAAGGGGAAGTCTGAATGAACCCATAGATTGTTTCCCAAGCTGAACCTGGGAAGTCGGCAAGCAAACTGTGAGGGCAACTGGGAGGCTCCCCCTGCTCCTGACCAGGATCCTGAAGCTGCCCAGGAGCAGTGGAGCAGTATACATTTGGAACGGTGGTTTGCAGAGGGGCATAGTTCTGAAGACAAAAGTTGGGGCGAACTGGGAGGTGGACAGCAAGGTGAAGAACTGGAAGAAGGAGAGAGATCTAACAGACTCTCTCTGGCTGGAAAGTGTCCAGCCTATCAGTCCAAGGTCACGTAGAGCAGATAAGGTGGCGATACAAAAACAGGGAGGGTTGCGAGATCAGGTTCCAAGACAGAAGTGACTAGGGGGAAGTGGGAACACCTTTATGCTTTGTTCTTTTGCTGTGATCATTAAAGACTCTATAATAATAATAATAATAATAATAATAATAATAATAAATTATTTATATCCAGCCCTCCCCAGCCAAAGCCGGGCTCAGAGCGGCTAACAACAGTAAAAATAACACAGTTTACATAAAATCACAATCAATTAATTGAAATACATTCTAAAATCAACTCATTCTAAAATCAACTCAGAGTCAAATTAATGGCAACCATTGGGCTAGAGTTCTATGAGGATTGCAGAAGGAGAGAGGGGGTCAGACTGTGCCTTGGCTAAAGGCCTGGTGGAACAGCTCCGTCTTGCAGGCCCTGCGGAAAAATGTCAAGTCCCGCAGGGCCCTAGTCTCTTGGGACAGAGCGTTCTACCAGATCGGGGCCACGTCCGAAAAAGCCCTGGCTCTGGCAAGGGACTCTTTTCGCTTTGTCCTGCTTATCTACAACCAATGGCGGGGGAGGGGGGAGGAAGCCAAGGCTGACTGATCAGGTGAAAGCCAGGTGACAGTGCCCATGATGCACTGACCACTGTACAAGGCAAGTTTAAAACACTGTGATGGAGTAATGTAACGGGGAGCTGTGGCTGTGGCGAGGGAAGTGATGATGGCTCAAGCTGTACCATCTTTCTTCCCTTACCTCCAGCATGGGCCTGGCGCTGTCATGGATCGAAAGAATGTGCGTTATGTTGTTCTTTTTCAGCTGTTCGGTGTCACGAGCATCTGTGGAAAAGGAGACCAGGGAGGAAAAGCCATTAGCACGGTGAGCCATATTTAACTCAATTATCAAATAGCACCACAAAAAGCATAACTTTGAAATGTGCTCCTCTCCCTGTTAGCAGTGGATTGCTGAGCTACAAAGAAGAGAAGCTTTCCTGAGCATCTGCTGCCACACAGAAGCACTGACTGGCTACTTAATGGTCTTAAGAGAGCCAGTGTGGTGTAGTGGTTAAGAACAGTAGACTCGTAATCTGGTGAACCAGGTTTGCTTCCCCGCTCCTCCACATGCAGCTGCTGGGTGACCTTGGGCTAGTCACACTTCTCTGAAGTCTCTCAGCCCCACTCACCTCACAGAGTGTTTGTTGTGGGGGAGGAAGGGAAAGGAGAATGTTAGCCGCTTTGAGACTTCTTTGGGTAGTGATAAAGCAGGATATCAAATCCAAACTCCTCCTCTTCTTCTTCTTTCAACAACCGTGTGCTGTGCTGACTAGGGTGCTGGGAGTAAGACGGCAGAGACCCGGGTTCAAATCCCCACTCAGGAATGAAGTTCTCAGCCTAACCTACCTCACTGGGGTATTGTGGGGAGAGAACAATGGAACAACTTGAGCTCCTTAAAGGGACAGGAAGATATAAACGCTATAAATGTATTGTGCTGGGTGAGTTCTTTTTGGGGGAAGTCAATGGCTCTTTTACAACCAGACATACATGATCACGAGAATTGTCACCAGAACACCAATTGGCTCAGGCACCTTTAAAAACTGCATAATAGCTCAAAATTCAGCACTCACAATCTTTGTCACCAATCACAGCATCTCCATGCAGGCGGGGGGGGGGGGCGGGGCAGGCAAAGAAAAGCTTTTGAATGCATAAACTGGAGAAGGATGTTTTCTGAAGAAGGGAAAATCCCTGGCATCTCCCATTATAAACCACGGGCCCCAAAAGCAGTTCATTCAATGGAAAGTGCTGCTCTGTAGATCTTCAGTTAATCTTCTTAATCATTTAAACAAACAATTCATGTCACAATGAGGAGAATAGAGGGGGGCGGAATCTAGATTTATCACCAATTACAACTCGTACATTAGACGTCAAAGTATATGGGGGGGGGAGTGAATTCTAGGCCAGTGGTACTGACTCCTGGTTCATTTCCAGGCTCAATTCAAGGTACTGATTTTAACATTTTAAGTCCTAAATGCACCCACATCACGAGCTACTGAGCTCTCCCCCAGAGGACCTGGTGAGGATCTCTCCTAACTTCACAAAAAAAGGCCATAGGTTGTTTAAGACTTTATAGGTCAAAACCTAGAAATAGACTCATGCTGTCATTTGCTTTTCAGTAAAGGTATTGCTAGCCTCCTATATACCTCCTATATACCGTGCTGTAAAATGACACTCAAAATACATGCACTGAAGATTTCTGCAGGAAAGAATTCATGGGCGATAAGACTATCAGTGGCTACTAACCCTGTTGGATACCTCTACTGTTTGGACACAGATGCTTCTGAAAATCATTTGCTGGGAACTGCAGGAGCAAGGAGAGTCCTCCTTGTTGTTGTTTTTAATATATTTTTATTAAACATTTCTTGGTTTACAAAAGTATGTGCAATGCCCCTTTTTCCAAGTTACATTTTCTACAGATCAGTTTCATTTGCTGAGACCTTTGTGTTACATTAGGATGAAAAGGGGGAAAGAGGTGGGGGTGGGGTCCAGTGGCAATGCTTCGATTCTACTTAGTGTATGTGTGAGGTTTTGTGTCAGTGTCACTTGAGCAAGTTCTCTTTACTATTCGCTTGTATTCCTTTGGTGGTGAAAGAGGTTGGCCTAGGGCAGTGTTTCCCAACCGGTGTTCCGCGGCACACTAGTGTGCCGTGAGACACCGGCTGGTGTGCCGTGGGAGGGAGGCGGGCGAGTCGGGCGCCTAGGAGAGAACAAAACCAAGTGAGCAGCGCGCGAGAGGGAAGCGACCCGAAAAAGAAGCGCGTTCGGAGTCCGGAGGCACTTTTGGGGCTGCGTACGAAGGGAGGGGGGGCACGGACGGCGGAAGGGGGCGGGGCGCGGTTGCAGAAACCCGCCAATGCTTCCACCTCATTGGGAAAGGGAAGGGGTTGGGCCACCTAAAACTCTCCGCCGGGGCCACATCCTGCCTCCCAGCCCCCTTTCCTCCACCCACGGAGGGAGGGATGTTTTTAACACCCCCCCCCCCCGCTCACAACCCTTTGGTAGCGTTTCTCCAATCTGAGGCGAGCGCCCGCCGACGCCCCCTTCCCCTGCTCAGTCGCGCAAAAACCGAAGTCTCCTCCCTACCCCTTATTCCCTCAAACCCCGTTTCCATAAGGGGGGGGGGGGAATAACCCCTTCCGTCGCGCGCAAAGCCCAGCTCCCTCCGCCCTTCGCGGTCTCCTCAGCACTTCAGCCAGCCGTTTACACTCTCGGAGCCACTGGGCAAAACTCGCTCTCAGAAGCGCGCGCGCGCGGAGAGAAAGAGAGAGGGAAACAAAGTTAACTTGTGGGGAGAGAGAAAGAGCGAGCGGGAGCTAACTTGTGTCCAAAGGCAGATACAAAGTAGCCCCCCCCGCCCCGAAGGCGACCTCTCTTGCTCTGCTCCTCTGGGGTGGGGAAACCAACTCCACCACGCGGAGCAGCCCCGAGGCGGGGAATTTCGCCCCTTCGTAATGTATGCATGTAAATGAGGCGGGCGCAAGGGGTGGGCGCGGAGAGGAACTCGCGCCTCTGAGGCCGCCGCCTCCTTCTCCTCCTCCTCCGCCCCCCCCCTCAAACCCAGGCGGCGGCGGCGGCAGGAGGCAGCAGCGGCAATAACAGAAGCAGCTGCGCTGACAACAACACGTGTTCGCTCGGGCACCATGGAATTCGAGGAGCTGGGGATTCGGGAGGAGTGCGGCGTGTTCGGGTGTATCGCCTCCGGCCTGTGGCCCACGGAGCTGGACGTGCCCCATGTGATCACGCTGGGGCTAGTGGGGCTGCAGCACAGGTAGGGGACACGGCGGTGGGGGGGAGACGGTCTGGGGAAGCGGGGGGAGGGTGGGTTGCTTGCGAGACAGCGGAGGAGGAGGAGGCCGGCATGTCCGGGCAGCAGCAGCAACAGCAGCAGCAGCAACTCCCGGCGACGGCTCCTCCTCCGCCCGCTATCGCCGCCGCCTCAGCTGCCGCCGTCCCTCAGTCCCTCGCTCTGCTGCCTCCTCCCACCCCGGCAAGGGGAAGGGAAAAAACTTTCACTTTTGTGCGTCCCTCCCGGCGTGACGCTGCGCGCTGACGTCACGGGGCGGGGCTTTAATGGTGGTGTGCCGCGAGATTTTTTTCCGGTAAACAGGTGTGCCGTTGCCCAAAAACGTTTGGGAAACACTGGCCTAGGGTGTGGTTGGTTGTCTTTGATTGGCTCTAGTGAAATCTGCTTTTGTGTGTGAGTGGTGTGTGTGTGTGTGTGTGTGTGTGTGTGTTTGGATCAGGTTAGCCAGACTGATTTGAATGCTGTCGGCGGGTTCTTGTCGTTGTCTTGTTGGGCTGTGTATGTGATAAAGGGAAACCAAACCGGGGTGAAGGCATCTTCTTCTATTTGTCCCCGTGTCAGTTTCAGTTTGTTGGCGAGTTTTTCTAATAAGGCTGTTTGCCATACTATTTGGTAACATTGGTCTATGCTTACTCCTGACAGGTCTCTCCAGTGTCTGGCTATGATGCTTCTGGCTGCTGAGAGTAGGTGGGTAATGAGCTCTTTGTGTTATGAGTGGGCATTATTGTCTTGGAAGATGTTGAGTAGGGCCAGTTCTGGGGTGACTTCTAACACTTGCTTAGTTATTTTACATATTTCTTGTATGAATGATATCCAGGAGAGTTGGATTTTGGGACATTACCACCACATGTGGAGGTATATGCCTGAGAGTCCTTGTAATAATAATAATAATAATAATAATAATAATAATAATAATAATAATAATAATAATAATATTGTGGGCTTTGCTGCTGGACTAGATGGGCCACTGATCCAGCAGTACCCTATGTTCTTATTTATTCATTTATTTGTATATTTTCTTACACTTGTACCATACCTTTCTTCTGCATGGAAACCCAAGTCAACATACACATAGGCTCGAAGTGGTGGTGACCCACTGAGGCACTGACCAGACCAAAGCCTGTTGACCTTCAGCAAGGCGGTGACCTCATGTGTTTACAGACCATACCCAGAAATCTACAAATCTTGCCTAGGTTCTAGCAACACTCAACATCTGAAGTATATGTTGGTGTTTTGAGTAGACGTATGCTTCTCTCCTACCAAGCAAATATCAACTTTGGATTTGTGGGCAGCTTGGATTTACAGTCTATGGAAAGTACAGATAGAACCACGGCTTGGTTGTAGGGCATGTGCTTTGAATGCTCCCAAGGACCCATGTTCAACTCCCGGCTCCTGTAGGCAGGGCTCAGAAAGACTCCTGTCTGAATGCAACCAAGGAGAGCCATCATCAGACAGCACAGAGTCTAGACTGTGTAGACTGTTCTGAGCTAGATGGGAAATGCTCTGACTCAGTAAGGCGATGGCAGGTTTTTTATGTAACAAAGCTTTGTTTTGTTTTGTTGCTGTGTTATTTGGTGGCCTTGAGGTAGGTGGAGGAGCATGTTATGAGTAGATTCCAGTTTCATGTGGAGAGACCAGAAGAAACCAACTCTCTCATCTTTCTACCCCTTTAGATATCTTCAAATATCTAAAGAGCTGTCACACATAGGATGGAGCAAGCTTGCTTTCTCCTGGTCCCAAACCAATGGATCCAAGTTACAGGGAAAGAGATTGTGACTAAACAACGGGAAGAACTTTCTGACAATAAGAGCTGGGTGCCACATCTTTGAGGGGGAGTGCCACCAGTGACAGGGTCTTTCCCCCTCATGGTGCCCTGACTATAGAACGCCCTCCCCAAACACGTTCACCTGAGGCCTACTTTGTTTCGAAGTTTTGTGACTTATATACATGCTACAGAATATGCCATTTTTACATCTCATAGAATAAATTTTAGAACATTTCTCCATTCAAGATTTCCCTAATGTCAGTTGGACACTGCCTAAGGATAAACATGATCCAGACTTGAAATATCAGTAATACCAGTGGAACATTTGGGGAGCCAATAGCTGGGGTGAGGAGTTGCAGGCTTCAAATGCACTAGTCTGTTCCTTCCAAACAAGAGAACCGTAAAAACCATGGCAGTTAAAAAGAGGCCTTTCAAATGTAGCCATCTTACATTTTAAGTCCAGAACAACCAAGACAAGAGGAGTTAGTTATTTACAAATTGGCCTGTTGCGTTCCACTTAGCATGCCGAAACACAACCAACTGTAGATCTTATTGCTGAATTGGGACGAGTTCCCAGCAGTCGTCCTGGTGAACTAACGGGCAGCTTGCTGAAGGATTAAACTGCCGCAGCTTAACCACCAGCATTTATATATCGCCTCCATAGAAACAGTGGACAACACTTCACAGGCCAACTGATGCAGCAGCCAGCAGAGGTTGCAAGTCAGAAAAGCTGCACAGCTCGAAGTCGGTGGTTAAGTGCTGACTCACTCTGCAATATCAGCCAGCTTCTCTTTGCCTCGACTCAATCACAGAGGGAGAAATCTAAAAAGAACCAAATTGGGAAACAGATACCAGGTCTCGGTTTCGCCGCGCTGGGTGTATTCAACCTTTAGCCACCAAGGTCTCGGTGTTACAGCCGACGAACCTCAGATCAGTTTGTACGTTTGTTTCTCACAAACGCAAAACCACACCACCGTGTTATTTAATCCACATTACTTACCTTCTTCCCATGTTCACCAGTTTTATTCTTTATCCACCATTTAATCGTTTATTTACATTCCCCAAATGACACATTCTTGTCAACTGCCAAAGCACTGAACCAATAAAGGGGCTAAGCTTTTAGTCAAACCTGATAAAAACATAGTGCTGTCAAGGTTACACAACTCTTTGGTTTGGGGCCTGGTTTTGGAACTGTAGCACGATCCTTTTCAGGTATGAACTTCAGCAGTGCTACTGTCCCAAGGTGTGGTTTGGGATGCAGTTGGCAACAGTGTCTAATCCTGCCATCTCTTCCTTGCCGCCCATCCAGACTTTAGGTGAAGGTAAAGGGACCCCTGACAATTAAGTCCAGTCGCGAACGACTCTGGGGCTGCAGCGCTCATCTCGCTTTACAGGCCAAGGGAGCCGGCATTTGTCCGCTTCTGCAGACAGTTTTTCCGGATCATGTGGCCAGCATGACTAAGCTCCTTCTGCAAAAACCAGAGCAGCATACAGAAACACTGTTTACCTTCCCTCTGGAGCAGTACCTATTTATCTACTTGCACTGCATGCTTTCGAACTGCTAGGTTGGCAGGAGCTGGATGGTTAAAACCACAGCACCACCCGCGCCATCTGGTCTTTACCTGTTCGAAAACGCCATGCCTCTGTCACGAGGCTGAAACTGTACCATGGCCTACTACAACTTTAGAGCAAAAAAGAAGTAATGTTGACATAGGATTTGCCATCGTCATCTCATTTCCCCTTAAAATGGTTGTGGGCAGAGGTGAAAAGGGAAAGCCTCTCAATCTCACTTTTAAAAATTAAAATCTCTACTAATGCACAGTCTGACTCTGGTGTCGGTGCAAATACTTCAACATTAGTCACATATCATACTAAACTACATGAATTGCATGAACAAATCTGGGAAAGGAGGCTGGAAGTTTACCATTACATCTGAATTTAAAATGAGCTTAATCTGAGCAATGGATTATTGAACAGTTTAATGAAACAAGCCAACTCCGTAAACTGCAATCTGAAGTTGGCTTATTTCAGGAAACCGGAGTCAAGCCTTACCACAGTTTGTTGAGGTTTGGCCAATACATAAATTGTGGTTAATTGAAAACAGAAGTAAAAGCTTCCAAACTTCTGCACTGCAGGGTGTTGGACTAGATGACCCTTGGGTTCCCTTACAACTCTACAGTTCTATGATCCTTACAGATCATGCTTGAGCTATGTGGCCCATGCAGGGGAGAGGGTGGTGCTGTGGTCTAAACCACTGAGCCTCTTGGGCTTGCCAATCGGAAGATCAGCGGTTCGAATCCCTACAACGGGGTGAGCTCCCATTGCTCTCTCCCAGCTTCTGCCAACCTAGCAGTTCGAAAGCACACCAGTGCAAGTAGATAAATAGGTACCACTGCAGCGGGAATGTAAACAGCATTTCCATGCACTCTGGCACTTGTCGTGGTGACCCATTGCACCAGAAGCGGTGTACTCCTGCTGGCCACATGACCCAGAAAGCTGTCTGTGGACAAACGCCGGCTCCCTCAGCCTGAAAGCAAGATGAGCGCCACAACCTCATAGTCGCCTTTGACTGGACTTAACCATCCAGGGGTCCCTTACCTTATACTTCTGTGGCACCAGATGCTGAGCTTGCCCCTAGAGTACCATTTCACATACTACTGTGTCTCAGACTTACAGCATGGGCCTCATTCATCCATTCCTCAGCTAATGTCTACAAAGGCTGTGTTGAGCTGAGGAAAGCAGGGTAGCTAAAGACCAAAATGAGTAGGTAGCAGTGATAGTGCGCACCCCAGAAATGATCTCTTTCAGCTTCTTCCTTCTGGAAGAAGACTAGGACTAGCCGCCTGAGGAATAGTTTCTACCCAAATGCAATTTTGGTTTTAAATGCATTGTAAGGAGTCTGTATGGGAGTATATTGTATTTAAAAATGGGGTATCAGAGTGTTTACAGGGCTAACTAGGTTGGGATAGCTGGGATAGCAGGCTTGTTGGTTTTTGAATGTCTTATGTAGATTTTTCAATTTTGTTGTTCTGTATGGGACAACGACAATAAAGAGTATCATCATATCGTATGGAACAGATGTGGGGAACTATCACTCCTGCAGCTCCCTCTCTTCAGGCAATGGGGACTATAACCAGACTTGCCACTCAGCAAAGCTTCTTCATATTGTTCTGTGAGAGCCTGCTGGGCGCTGTCCCATGACCTGTTTTTCTTTTCTTTTTTTAATTGGGCAAACCCGAATTTGCCTTCCTCAGATTTTGGAGTGTGCACCATGCTAGCTTCAAATACAAGACTCTATGGGCTGTGGCAATATACTCTGCACCAAAGGGAGAGGAGTGGACAGATACCCCACTTGAAAGCCTAGTGGTGATGATCACAAAACCAGACAGGTTTAGGTAGAGACTTGTGTCTCTATCACATAAGCAACTGTTGGCCAGGGGGCAAGGAACCTGTGGTTTTTGATGGCTTTTATTAGAATACAATTCCCATCATCCGTGACATCAGCCACGGTAGCTTGGCCTGACGGGTAGTCCAACAATAACAGGAGGGCCACAGGTTTCCTACTCGTGCCTTGGAAGAACCATCCAAAGTTTGGGAGAGACAAAGTAAAAGTAAAATTTCTGACATTCCTGTTGAGCCTTTTTTAGGAAGACCTCCCCCCCAAATAGTGATACATCCATGTTTTCCCTGACCTTTTCCCCAATTCAGCAAATCCCCCCATGCCATTTTTACACCCAAAAACCAGGACATGTCAGGAATTTTCCTGACGTATGGCAAGCCTAGACAAAGCTGTCACACACAGAGAGACACATAGTTTGGAAGCAAAATGTGGTTGGGCACTATGACTGCTAATGACACTGAACTTACCTTTAAAATTTCCAAGGAACAAGCCAGGAAGAATCTGTGAGAAAGAAAGAAATATAATATCAAATGTACATCTCTTGTGGTAAAATGATCTGACGCAGTTCAATTTGCATACAGAGTGGAACATAACACTTTATATCTGTAGAGTCTGGCAACATGGTAAGGGCAGTGTGTTTTTCCTTCCAATCTTCCCCACTTCACTTTGAAGCTTTTTTCTTCTTAATTTCAGGGTCCCGTAGCTTAACAGCAGTTTAATAAAGGCAGGAGGGGACCGGTAAAAGAAACCTAAACCAGTGTTTCTCAAACTCGAGTCTCCAGGGGTTTTTTTGGATTCCAATTCCCATCATCCCTGACCACTGGTCCTGCTAGCTAGGGATGATGGAAGTTGTAGTTTGAAAGCAGCTAGGAAACCCTGCTCTAAACTAAGAATCTATCACTCATTTTACACCAAAAATACTGTAATTTTACTTAAATCAGTAATGGGAATGGCTTGATTTGAAGCTCTCTGAACTCAGGGCTGGTCCTCAGTTGTCCCTTAGATGGTTTCTGACTTCTTTTGAAGTGTCCTGAACTTAATGACATTACATCTTAATATAAAGGTGTACCCATTGGTTTATGTGTCTTTCAGCATGGGTCTCCATCGCCATCTACAATCTATCTCTTACACATTTGGAATTAGAGGAAGGAGCAGACACTGGCAGTCCAAGGACCATATCTGAACCTTGAGGGTTTCACTAGGTCTCTATCTGGAAACTTAGAGGCAAAAGACATGAGGAGATTGTGGCTGTGGAAACAGGACTGGAGATTATGGGAGACGGGACAACTCTCCATGCCCTCTTCATTATATGGCCATCATATATATTGATAGCCAGAAATTTTGGGGTGGAATATCCGTGTCCATGGTATGATTTTCAGCCCAGATCTGCTATGAGCTCCCAGCTATGTGGTATCTGCTGGACAAGGGGAGCTATTTGTGTACGGTGGCTTTTGTGGCAGGGGATCTCCAGCCCTCCCGCCATTTTGTAGAGGTGAGGAGGGCACCGAGAGGGTTTGAAGTAACAACCACATGCAAACGAACAGCTCCTGGCCTATAAAGCAGCTCCAGTGTCAGATTAGGGTGGTTTTGGTTTGCCCTATTTAAATAGCTGCCAGGGAAGGAGGATACACACAGAGAAAGAGAACTCACAGCATGTGAGAGAGGAGAAGCTGGTTAAATCTTCTGCCCCATGCTGCAGCTCTGATGAATATATATGATGAATATATCCTTCCCCTAAGTGGCCATTAGTAGTATCCCCCATATGACTAAATGGGTCACTCAAAGCCGCTTGACAGCCAGGGCTGACCAGTACCTCATTTTTTATCATTCCCGAGTCCTGAACGAAATCCAAACTCAAAGCAAGCAAATGCAAAAAACTGCAAGCCACATGGATTGAGCGTGGCAAGAGGTTATATATCAAAAGCCTGCCAGCTTGAACAAAGAATGTGCTCAAGATTTATCCGGCCTCTCATGAACTTTGGCAGACCAGCCTTCTTGTGACAATGACACAGAAAGGGGGGGGGCAGGAAATTTGCTCATCGTTTTAGGAATGTATACAGGCTGATATCAGAGGTATGACAATGGCAAGGAACATGCAACTTGACATTTTTTAAAAAATAGGCCAGCACCAAGAGGCACATCAATCAGAAGGTCGGCGGTTCAAATCCCCATGAGACGGGGTGAGCTCCCGTTGCTCGGTCCCTGCTCCTGCCAACCTAGCAGTTCAAAAGCACGTCAAAGTGCAAGTAGATGAATAGGTACCACTCCTGTGGGAAGGTAAACGGCGTTTCCATGCACTGCTCTGGTTCACCAGAAGCGGCTTAGTCATGCTGGCCACATGACCTGGAAGCTGTACGCCGGCTCCCTCAGCCAGTAAAGCGAGATGAGTGCCGCAACCCCCAGAGTCAGTCACGACTGGCTCTAACGGTCAGGGGTCCGTTTACCTTAAGAGGCACATGCCAGTTAAAGTCGCAGGAAGCTTTTCCATGCCCTGTTTCACCAGAGAACCATGACAGCCAGAACAATGCAACCCTCGTACATCACTTATGCTCGCCTCTCTCTGAAGGGACCTGAAGGTACTACGTGACCTGCATATGTGCCAAGACATGTGTGGACTAGGGTGCTGTCCCCTTTCCCCGCCACAGTTGCCATTCCTCTCACAACACTTCTTAGGGCAGGCAGGCCTTTGCACAAGGACCTGGCCGCATCACAGTCCTGAGGGATCATTCAACCAGCAGAGGATGAGACTCTTAATCTCATGTTGGGTGAAAGCTTCATGCATTGCAGTTATACTAGATGATCCTCGTGGTCACTTCCAACTCTACAGTTCTACAGCCATGATAAATAAGGCTGCACTCTCATTAATAATAATAATAAATTTTATTTATACTCCGCCCTCCCCAGTCAAGACCGGGCTCAGGGCAGCTAACACCAAATATAAAAACAATTGATTGAAATACATCTTAAAAAACAAGGTTAAAATACAACATTTACTTTCTTGGGCTCCATGATCACTGCAGATGGTGACAGCAGCCACGAAATTAAAAGACGCCTGCTTCTTGGGAGAAAAGCAATGACAAACCTAGACAGCATCTTAAAAAGCAGAGACATCACCTTGCCAACAAAGGTCCATATAGTTAAAGCTATGGTTTTCCCAGTAGTGATGTATGGAAGTGAGAGCTGGACCATACAGAAGGCTGATCGCCGAAGAATTGATGCTTTTGAGTTATGGTTCTGGAGGAGACTCTTGAGAGTCCCATGGACTGCAAGAAGATCAAACGTATCCATTCTGAAGGAAATCAGCCCTGAGTGCTCACTGGAAGGACAGATCCTGAAGCTGAGGCTCCAATACTTTGGCCACCTCATGAGAAGAGAAGACTCCCTGGAAAAGACCCTGATGTTGGGAAAGATGGAGGGCACAAGGAGAAGGGGACGACAGAGGACGAGATGGTTGGATAGTGTTCTCGAAGCTACCAGCATGACTTTGACCAAACTGCAGGAGGCAGTGGAAGACAGGAGTGCCTGGCGTGCTCTGGTCCATGGGGTCACGAAGAGTCAGACACGACTAAATGACTAAACAACAACAACAAAATGCAACATTAAAACATTAAAATGCAGTTAACATGTAGCACTGCTAACACACAGGAATTGCCACAAAACAGGCCATGTTGTTTCCATGCCCTTCTCACACTTTGGCCCCTTCGAACCAAGGCTAATCTCCCTGATCAGAACTTTCTCTTGATGCACGCCATACTTTTCAGATGGTCTCGAACCCTCACTCCATACGATGCCACCACATCAGCAACGCACATTCTTTGGAAGAGGCTGACATGGAAACGATGCTATGTGAGGAGAAAATAGCATGCGTTCCCCCGTGAATTAGATCACAGTGGCAAAGAGCCACAAGTCGGCACAAGAAGATGCTTGCCTAGTCCCTAAACTTGAGTAGCGGTTCCAACTGAGAATTATAAGATCCTCATAAATGCACTTCAGTATGCTTAGTATGCTTCGGTGTTGCCCACTGAACTCCAAAGCACAATGAAATGAAGCCACAAATGGTCTTGATGCATAAAACTCTTTGCCCATGCTTTTGGGGCGAGGGTTAAATACAAGGGAGGGAAGTGTTACTTACAACAGGGATAGGGAAACTGTGGCCCACCGGATGTTGCTAGACTACAGTTCCTATTATCCCTGACCACTGGCCATGCTGGCTACGACTGATGGGAACTGAAGTCCAACAACATCTGGAGTGTCTCAATTTTCCTGTTCATGATCTATATTCTTATAGATTTGGGGGAGACCCCCCTCCAAACCCTAGAAATTAAGAAATTGTAAGATTTTAATTATTTGGGTTGTGAAGGGAGAGACAAACTGCAGGTGAATTTCTGGGTTAGCCTATGAAAAACAACCTGGCCGAGCTAGGGCCATTAAGAAACAAATTAGGGCCATTGAGGGCCATGGGCAATGCAAGAGAACTGTCCTTCCCCACTCCCCACCTGAGGAGGGGACAGAGACAGGGGTTGGAAGGTTGCCATGGTAACTGGGTGTGAGGTGAAAGGAAAAGTCTTGAGCAATGATTGCTGGGGAAAAGAAGAGGGAAGGAAGACTAGGATCCATCTTGGGCAGGTTGGCTGCTGGCTGGCTGGCGTACAAGCCCCTCTTGAAATGACCATGCTGTAAGGTCTGGACTCCCTCCTTGCAGACTGAAGGTGTAAATAGGTCAATAAACCATATTTCTTAAAGCTGCAACAGTCTCTGCTGTGTCTGGAACCCCATGGGCTCCTGCCACCGCTCGGCAGACAGAGGGGGAGGCACACAACTTTTGTAACAATATCATGGCACATCAGATCCCAGAGGAGGGAAGTACAGTTCAGCAGTAAAGCACAAGCTTTCTATTCCAAAGATGCCAAGGTCAATCCCTCACAACTCCAAGAAGGGCCGGAAGAGACTCCTGCGTGAACCCCTGGAAACCTTGCTACCGGTTCCGTGTGGACAAGACGAACAAGATAGAGCACTGGTCTGAGTCGGAGCAAAGCATCTTCGATGACTTGCCAAACTTACTGAGGCAGATCCCCACCCCCAGGGAGCTTACAAGATGAAACAGACAGTGGGGGGAAACCGAAGGCACAAAGGGTGGGAGAGACTACAGTGTGTGAGAGGAAGAATGTGAGCAAATGCTGCCGATTCCGCTTCAGGGAGGTTCCAGCAGCAGGCAAGCGACTGAACGCAGCATTATAGACGGGTCAGGCAATGGGCAGGAGCAAACAACAGCCAGATGATCCAATTGTGGCAACAGCAGCTGTTAGCAATCTCTGGGGGTTGCCTTTTGTCAGAAACATTAAGGAAGCGAGTAAGCCTGTCTGGCTTACGAACAAAGGGCTGCGGTGTTTTTGGAAAAATTCAAGTAATCCACTGCTGGCCGATTTCTCTTGCCTACACCATACATGGTTACGGGAAAAGGGTACACTCATTTTACCAACTAAGGGCATTGATACCAACAG